AACCAACCTGCGCCGACAGCTTAAAAACGGCATATTAAAAGCTAAAGATCACTATCAAAATGTATCACTGAAAAACTTTCTTGAGTCATCCCCGGATAAGTTCTGGAGATATCTATCGCCAAAGAAGACCCACGTGTCTGATATTTGTGTTGATGGTATCATGTTGACTGACAAACTCAGAATTGCAAATGCACTGAACGAGTACTTCTGCTCCGCGTTCACGAGTGATGATGGCAAGATACCACGCATATCTGTTCTAGACGCTACTCCGCCCATAAGCTCCCTCGACATAAACGAAGCGGGAGTACTGTCCTTGCTTCTTGGCATTGACGTGAAAAAATCGCCAGGCGTCGATGAAATACCTAATGCTTTCCTCCGGAGATATGCGGAATGGTGCGCCAAATATCTGTGCATTATTTTCAACAAATCACTTTCACGTGCAGAAATACCACACGACTGGAAGCATGCAAAGATTATTCCCATCCCTAAATCAGAAGACCGCTCACTGCTGTCCTCCTACCGCCCTATCTCTCTTCTTTGTACCTCATCGAAACTAATGGAGCACATTATATTTAAGCACATTTCAGTCTTCATTGAAAATAATGGCCTCTGCGACACACGTCAACACGGCTTCCGTCGCGGAATGTCAACCGTAACGCAACTACTGGAAACCGTACATGAAATTGCGGCAACACTGGACAGCCAAGGTCAAATTGACATAATATTTTTGGATTTTGAAAAGGCCTTTGACCGTGTATCCCATCAAAAGTTGCTATTAAAACTAAAACCCATTCTCAAAAACGACCAGCTACTTCAATGGACAGAGGCGTATCTGACAAACAGGCGGCAAACAGTCGTTGTCGACGACGCAAAGTCGGACTCATCTGATGTGCGGTCTGGAATACCACAGGGATCAGTCTTGGGTCCCCTGTTTTTTCTACTGTTCATTAATGACATAGTGCAACACATACCAGTTAAAATTCGGTTGTTTGCAGACGACTGCATACTCTACAATGAAATCCACAGCGAGGCAGATCAGGCTATCCTAAATTCATCTTTATCAGTTATAGCTACTTGGTGTTTAGAATGGCAAATGAGCATTAACCTCAGAAAAACAGTATCGATGACCATAACACGCAAACAGAAGTCATTACCTTTTGTGTACAGCATTAATGGCCATAACTTATCGTCTGTCACGCAATATAAATACCTAGGTTTAGTGATCACGTCGGACCTTAGGTGGAGTAACCATGTAGCTCACATTAAAAATAAGGCCATGAAGAAACTTGGATACCTGAGAAGAACCTTGGCTAAATCTACGAGCAATATAAAATTGTTGGCCTACAAGACATTCATAAGACCATTACTAGAATACGCTACTCCTGTCTGGGGCCCTTACACCCAATCAAACGTAAGCGAAATCGAAAACATACAGCGGAAAGCAGTCAGATTTATCTTTAATTCTTACCGTCGTCATACATCCGTCAGTGCTCTTTTACAGGACGCGAACCTCGAAACTCTAGAGGTACGACGCTATCGAGACAGGCTCAAGATGTTATACCTGATTTATCGACAACATGTCAAAATAGATAGGGAATTGTATATTAAACCGTGTAGTAGGCGCCCAACCCGTTCATCTCATTCGTTCAAACTAATCGAATACTCGTGCCGAACCAACATGTTCAAAAAATCGTTCTTCCCTCGTACAATCCATGAATGGAACGCATTGCCTGAAAATGTATTACAGAGCCCAACCATGTCGTCGTTTATGCACGCTCTCGCTCATCTATGACCGAGATGTTTCCTGTGGCGTCTGTCGCTTTCCAGATGGCGTGCGACATTGAAACAAAAATCATTACACCCTTCTTATCGTTGTCGAGCAGACTACTGCGTGAACATGCGCTCTTTTGCACATTCTTCTCTTTTTTTCCCCTTGTAGTTATTTTATTTGTCCTAAACTGAAACATTTTTTCACCCTGTGGTCCATGTATTTTCTTACCAGTATTTTCAACTGTATTATCGTGTGTGTTTTACTGGAACCTGTTGTTTCTTGTTTCACATACTGAAAAGATTGTTCAACACTGTTTTTAGTTTTATTCCACAGATTTGTTTGGAACCGTTCTCACAGATTGTTCATCATTTTCTTTTGTGTACAATCCACTCCTGCCTATGGCTTGTAAAGCAAGTTGGCAGTATTAAAATAAATAAATAAAATATTTGCTATAAATCCTTGTTGCCTCTGCCGTGAATTTCCATTTTGGCACTGCCCAAATAGACAAAATATATCACCGTACAACACAAACTCGACATCTGTGTACACGCCTTTCTATAGTGCATCCTCTATGATACAGAAAAACGGCAGCAGCCTAAATACGGGATGGTATGTACATAGTCAACTAACATATATCAGATTTCTTTCGTTTGTACAAAATTAATGATAACCAACGAATAATAAGCCACTGAAGATACAGAGGACGTAAATCGTACTGTTTTGACTGCATTGTAGTAATTGTGATATATACGTGAAAAAAAGTATAATGTACGAAAACACCATTAAAAAGTTTTCCTTTCGTAGAAAACAGCCAGACGAGTTTTAAAATAAGTTTATTCATTTATTCTGTCATTCAGTTTACTGTTTTCACATTTGGATCGCGATGACTACAATACAAGGAAAGCTGCACATTTCAAGCCCATTCTACATTCCTTGGCTTCACCTGTTCGTTTTGATTGAAGTAACATTCTAAGTAGGCATATATTATATATGGAAGCAGGGAAAACTTTGGTGTCTATTAATATGACCAATTGTGTCATTTACTATCGCCATTAGTGATTCTATCAATAATTTGAAATGTTTAAGTTGGCTCGGTGCCACACTATATATAGCTTATTTTTAGTGGGAAAAAAAAAAAAACTGAAATCGAATACACTGCAGTAGTTTCTCGGACGCGTATTACCCAGTAACTCGATTGACCAGCACAGTTGCAAACAAGAATGAACTCTGCTTATGTTCAGTGCCTTGTACCGATACTCATTTTCGCTGCACACTGAACTCTGACCACGCACTGCTAGCTCAACGTACTTCAGAAAGCCGCGCCAGTCATCTGACATGTATTCGAGTGTAAACAAAATTTTACCGGTGGAATCAATCACTTCGTGTTTGCAATACTGCTCTGGCAGTTCAACAACAAGTACCAGTCCCCCATCGGGGTGAATTCGCAGAACGAAGGGTGTTCCAAGCAGTGACCTTGTCCACCATGCTTTCTGCATACCACAACTGAAGGCGCTGATCCTTGTCCCCATAGCCCGAGGAAGCAAATAGCACCTTCTTGCATCTTGTTTAAAGGGCTGCTGAAAATGTGCGACAGCCTCTCACAATAAGCAGAAGACAGCTGTCAAGGCACATAATTAGCATTGCTGAAGCTACAGGTGTGGTGTGACAAAAGCGAGAAGTTGGAGGATCGCTAGGCCATAAATAGTTCTGACCCCGCGGTATCATTCGCTATGGTTCAGGCAGAAAAACTTGGAATGTTTTCAGACAAAGTGGTCACTGCTTTATCAAGTAGTCCCGAGCAAATATTCAGCAGCGCTACTTTCACACACGGAGTGAAATTTCAGTGTCCTGGTGAGATTTAGACACCTAGAGCATGCTCGAACTTCCAACCTTTTTATGGTGTGTAAGTGCTGCCATCTATGAACACAGAAAGTTCAATTCTGAGTTGCTTTGAAGCTGGTGAGCCCTTTTAAGCAGCAATTCCATTTAGATTTCCGTTTTATGAGAGTCTATTGTACATAGCCAGTGAACAGCTGCATATCAGTTCAGCCAATGTCGGTTAAAAGTATTGTTATGAGCGTCCTAGCGCTCCTCGTACAGACATCGAGTGCGTTCGTTAGAGACGCTGCACGCGTCCAAGAGTGGGGCTGCCTTTTCCCCCATCAGCGTCTCGGCGCCTATAAAAGGCCGGCACACCTAGCGTCGGCGGCTTCGTCCACGTTCTGTACATACATTGTAAATATAAACGTGCTGCTTCCTTTTGGCTGCCTGTTGCCTCGCCACTGCCAGGATGCTCCCTGCCCAGCGTTGGCCCTCGCAACACACTACCCGAGAGACCATTAGGGCCTCTTCGTAACAGTATGTAATAATCACACCAAACTTTTATTAGTTAACTAGAGCACATAGTTTCTATCTTTATTAAGAACTGAAACTGCAGTTGCATTCTTAAGTGAAGACAGAAGTGAAGATACAAAGCAAGACGATTAAGAAATAAAAATAACAGATTACTATATATTCGTAACAGGTCGTGAGAAAACCATCAAACAAGTTAAATATTTTCTTTCTCACCTCCTTCATCATGCTTTATCTGGTGAAAAATAAATTTACCTTTAATTGATTATTACAAGAATCACTGCCCTTATTATAAAGTTCAAACGACTACAAATTTTATACATTCAGGCTGCAGCGGTAGTAAAGTAGCCATCGTGGTGTATATCTGAATTTAAACCAAGAATTTGCAACATGCACCAGAACTTTATAAAATAAGCACAATTCCCCCCTCCTCCACCAATGAAAACAAAGCAGCCAAAGATGCTGAAAAGTAAATCCATGACCAGGCTCAGCACTGCAGCACCGACAGTGGTGATTTCATAAAGTAAATGTAAAAACCTCTGCAAGAAACTATGAGCACTAAAAGAATGGCAACAATGCTTTCATTCATAATTCAGTTCCAACTCAGATTGCAATGTACCGGTATTAAGAGCAGTACCATTTGCATCCAAGCAGCACTCACAATGTCATCCCCTTAGACAAACCTGACTAAGCAGTTTATAACAAACAATGAACACGCCATGCAATGCATTACCACGTAACAACTTGAAAAAATGGGCTCCCACACATGAAAACTAAATGGATCTTTTTCCATACCACCACCAGAACCACCACCATCACACTGCGGACACCATATTCATTTCCACACATTAAGCAGTAAGAGTTAACAAATACATACATTATCCTGTTAATGAAAAAAAAGGACAGTAAATGTAGTACCTCATCAAATTTCAATGTACCAAATTGCCATGGCAGCAGAAGTTACAAACTATCCTACCTGAGCAACATTCTCGAAGTGTTCATGACTCTTCTGCAGAACTCTGGCACGAGCCAAATTCCGCCCTATTCCTGGATTTTTCCGCAGAAAGACCTCTCCGTGCTTTTCCAACCAATCCAAAACCTAAGACCAAACAGCATTTGTTATTGGCATGCACACTTACAGAGTACCTCCTACATGCTGTCCCCTACACACTTATAGGCACAGTAAGGATGTGCACATTTTATTGAGCCACTGCTGGGTAAGTTGCCTGCCTTCCTATATGCACCCAAAGAGAACAGCCAACACCATGTAAATAACACTGCCACCACCATTTTAACTCCCAGAATTCAATTCTTCACAGAATTGCTAAATTAGACTCCAATTAAATCAAAGAATCTAACCAACAGTTTGCGCTCAGCAAAAAATGCTATAGCTACTGAACCGCTGCAGCAGGCAAAAAATACTGTTATATGTGCTCCTATACATGCATGTACAATACCGTCCACTGTTAAACGGAACATTCGAATGCATTACATCATTATTGCTGGCCCTCAAACAGCAAGTGGTTATGAAAACACTCCACATGCACATCACTGGTTTGTCAGGAGGAGTCTGAACTTTCAACCACCAGTAGTCTTATGCAAGTCTAAGCTACTATGCTTCCGTAAGATAGAGAAACCTGAGCATGCTGTGTGCTCAGGTGTTTCCTTTAACAGTGGATACATCTGTACGTTTGCACTCCTCTGCACTATCAAACAGAACAAGCTTGCACAAGATTTTGAGCTCTGGTGCTCTTCATAATAAGCTTCTATAAACTACCATATGGCAAACTGTGAATCGCCAAATATGTGTCATATAAATGCAATGAGTAAACACAGCATCATATTGACAACAAGGTTATCAGGTGGCTTAACACATTATTTAGATTTTCCTTTGGCTCGTGAATAGCCTCTTACAATTCCAGACACACATAAAATGGTCTCATTAAGTAAATATGGTACTAATTTAAAATATTTTAACTAAAAAAAAAATGTGCATGTTCAGGGTACATTCACATTTTCTATTAGGTTTTTTGTGTACACTGAGAAATATTGTGAAAGAAAAAAAAAACCTAAACATTTGTGTGTGGGGGGGGGGGGGGGGAGGTGTGACATAAGAAGGAAGAAGGTAGCGATGGTTGGTAGAAGCCGAGAAAGAAGAAGTCAGATTGGAATGAACTGGGCTTGTGCGAATACTGAACTTTAGGTTCCAAGCGAATTCCAAGTGAATAGTGATTTTGGTCGAATAATTTTGAATCGTATTCGAATGGTATCACTTAAAAAAAAAAAAAGGAATACTTATCAAGATCTAGTTAACCTGCAAATTATATTGTTTAATTGAAATAGGAGCTCTATACAATTTTTTTTTTCGTTCAAAAGGAAGTCAGGACAATCTTGAGTAGTAGCGAGATTTGAGTTTCGATTGGATTCTGGTGGTAACCAGTAAAATATCTAACATTTTAAAATTTATTATACTTACAGCATGTCATAACAAGCTTTCATAACAAGCTTTAAAGCATAATAAAATCATGAATTGATTTGACGGTAACATGTTCGTTTAAAGGGGCCCTGCAACACTTTTTTCAAGTAACCATGGAGCCACTAAAGAAGCTTATTGCCTCACGAATGAACCGCCGCAAAATTTTTAGAATCAGTGCAGTATAAGTGGAGTTCCAAATATTTGATGCACACTGCAGCTGCATTCTCTTTTATCGTCCCAACAAAAGTGCTGGAAGCTAAGCAGGAAGGGGTGGCACGGGGAAAGAAAATATGTCATGCATTCCTCGTGACCTTGAGCACTTTTTCTCTCTCTTTTATTTTTTCATCGAATACGCGGCTTTTCAGTGCGATCGCGCACATATGCGTGGACAAGCCGCGGCCCCAGTAACGATCGAGCACGCCATGCTCAAGTCAGCCAATGGCTGTGACCAGTGATTTTTGAGCTTGTAGTGTTATTTGCCGAGGGAAGAGAACAATTTTTAGCTGACTGAGAATATATTGTGAATTGCAGGCTGCGTGCTGTGCTATATTATTTACCTCGCGTGTTCTCAGTAGCCTCGACTACCGATCGGCAGCGTTTTCTAACCATGCTCAATAAGTGTTGCAGAACCCCCTTTAAATTTAAAAGGGGGCTTCGCAGCGAAATGAACTTACCCTGGATAACTGCTTTCACGGCTTAGCACCCCTAAACTGCAGTAAAACCACCTTTACAGGCAATTACATGGGGATTAATATACATTTATTCGTTCACTACGAATAACACTTCAAAATTTTCAATAATTTAAATTCAAATTAAAGTGAATTCAAATACTTTACTATTCGTTCAAATATTCGAAGCCTTTGAATATTCGCACAAGCCTAGAATAAACTCATGGTGTATGAGCCAGGCCCCACCTCCTATATCTGAAGCCACACACACATAATATATCATGAAATGCATTGAACCAGCCTGCTTCATCTGAATGCAGTATTCCATTGAAAAAAAATATCCGAGGACATGCCGAAGATCTGTCAAGAATTCGTAAATAGTAGTCAGAAAGCACTAGAAGTAACACTGTGGTAGTCAGGTACGAAAGTGTTCATGGCCTATAATCCACTATAAACAGTTCAGTAGAAACTTTGTGAGGGTCAGGATTATTGATATGAAATTATCTTTATTTACTGCAGCAGCTGAAGCATTTTCATTTTTACTCCGGCACATGAGAAAGTTATGTGTCCACTGTGCAAATAAAGTGCAGAATGAACACCATCATTTACAGTATCTGTGTCTACTCTCAATGTGCCAATCAACTTTGTGTGTATGATATATTTTACAATACTACAATTACAGAGTTTAAGAACATTACATTTACAAATATAATCCAAACAGAAACAGTACTATACACAACATTCATCATAAGCAATCTCATTCGGCTGCAAAGTACATAATACAGCAAAACTTTTTTAAGAGACATGAATATAGGAGCCATTCTTGTTTCTTATATCAGATGCCCCTCATAAGCAGGGTACTGCATTTTCATTTTATCATGGACCTCTATTTAGATGTAGGCACACTGGGATCTGTTATTGGCATTGAGCAAATAGCATGGTGCCCACAGGCCTGCATAAGGTTTCCCCATGCGGAAGGGGGGGGAGGGGGCAAAGGTTCCTTATAGCAACCTTCCCCCCTCCATATTATGTCAATGCATGGGCAGACTATGCCCCCCCCCCAATTTACACCCCCCTTTTTATTATGTCTATGTATGGGGCTGACTTTTCATCAGCCAAGTGTTGCACATTTCTTTACATTTTGGATAATGGTGAAAACTTACAGACGAATCTGTTGGCATTTGTGTGGTACTGGGGCATCAAATAGTGCACCCACAAGCTAAAGCTGCTTGCATGCAGCCTAGGACTGCTTATATGGTGATAACATCTCCAGCTGGCAAAATTAAGCTTCACACATTGAGAATTGAAGATCCCGCACCGCTATTTCACCTAGACGTCACGATCCACAACTACGCAGGAAGGCAAGCAAGGTGTGACGTAAAAACAATCACAGCGTTGGTCCCTCTAGTGAAGGCCCTCACGGACAAAGCCCAACTGTTTATTAAATCAATGACCCTACCAAAGTGTTCTGCTACAAGGCCAACGTATCAGAATTCGACTGCACCAATTTCTAAAAGTATGTACAATGGCAGAAAAAAAAAGAACACCTAGTAAGAGGAACTTGAAATGGCCTATTGTCAAGGATGCATACACACCTTTTGGCTAAGCAGCCAAGCCAAGTGAGAGCAAGTATGCTTTAGCATCCGTAACTTAATATTCACATGTCGTATGCAAGCACAGCAATTTGCTGATAGAAGATACAAATTAACAAAAGGTGTTTACTGACACAGTAGAATCTCGATGATACGATTACGATTGATGTGAATTTCACGATGATACGAATTTTAAGGTTGTTTTAGATGGACTACATTATATAAAATACACCGTGATTCAGTGTTATACAAACGGTTTCCTTAGCCACCGCAGATGATACGAATGTATGATTGACAGCTGTATGCCAGCGGCATAATGCAGTTTGTGTGCGAAAGGAAGGCGCGATCACTCTTGGCCCCAAAGGGAGCAAATGCGACAAAACTCGCCAGAATTTCCCTCGCTTCAGTGGCCGAAAAAACACACCCCAAAGCTGACACGAAAAAATCTGTCCAACCATTTTCTCGCCACGCGATAGCATATCGGCTTTTTACTTCATGACTTTGGTTCCAGCCGCTAAACATGGCGTCAAAGGCATCAGCGGTGAATCGCATGGGCGCTATCGCGAACTGCCCATGCAGCTCGTCAAAGCTCACGGCCTTGACAAGGACATGTTCTTCAAGAGCTTGGTTTGGATTACAATCGCTAAGAACACCGGAAGTAGAAGAAGGCGCAGCAGCGGCGAGTCGGCATGCCATATTGTGTATCGCTTTTGCACTGCTGGCTTAATCCGTCGCCGTCGCTGTGTCCGCTGGTGTCAATACTGCTGGTGTATCTTTCGAAACAATGTTTGTAAAGGTGCAAACTATTTTTTTTTTTCAGTGCTTTGCATGCATAACCAGAACTCAGTACGAACTTCAATGCTCAGGAAATGGGCAAAACGGAATGAATTCTCAAATGGTGATGGCGGCAGTGGCATGTACGAGGGGCAGAACGAGTGTGAACGTTTTCGACGGGCATGGGCATGGTTTTGCGGTCATTCTGGCGTTTTCGCTTGAATTCTCCAGGACTGATTATTTTCATGTCAACTTTGTAACGCGTTTTTTTGGCCGCCTATGCGGCAAAGCAAGTAGATTTCCAATGAGTTTGGCCGCTTTCGCTCCCTTTGATGTCAAGTGTCAATGTGCCGCGCCAGCAGTACTGAGAAAACCGCGGCACGTTATTGAGAGATGGTGAAGGCAGGAAAGTTCAACATCATGAACTTTTTTCAGCAAGTAGTTGTCCATAAAGTTCTTGTTCATATTTAATATGAGCATTTACTTGCTTTTGGTTCATACGAATTCGGGATGATACAAACATTTTGTGTGCTCCCTTCAAATTCGTATCATCGAGATTCTACTGTATTTTGGAGGAATCAAGTTTATGTTTAATTTAAACTCAATTGTGATTACTTTCTTTCTCGCTGAGTCGAATGTGTGTTTTTGTAACTAGTAGTAACAGATCAAATGAAGATACGCAGTATATATGTTCTGGATAAACCTTCATTTGACCATACTAAATTGCAAGTTCTGCTCATGGAGCAACTCACCTGACGAACATCCTCTTGGAAAAGGCGCAGTGCAAGCCTTTGGTGCAACTTAAGTTTCTTGGTGTGCCACTTGGACTCAAGCGCCCGGTGCTGGCCCAGAATTTCGTGAATCACTGACAAGACATGCTTGGCCCCTTCCGAGTAGTCGCCAGCCTGGCAGCCCAATAGTAGGCCTTTGCCTTCTGCTGCTCCCTGGAGGAAAGTTCAATATGAAGCACGTGTCCTACACTCACATCTAACAGCCAAGAGCATTATTATGACCATATGCCTCGGCCACCAGCACACACCCTCCAAGGCTACAACACCAATGCCAGAAAGAAAAAGACATCTTTATTCACACTGATGTGTAGGCGAAAATCGCAATACAATCTACAAAACAGTACACAATATATTAGAGGGCATTCAAAACAGTGCAGCCTTATTCATCAATCCCTCATTAATAGGGTAATCGGTACGAGCACCGTATCATCCCTTGCTTCCCCCACAATGTCATTCTCGCATGAGAATACTAGGCAATGTTATTGTCACATGCAGTGTCTTAACTTCTTGAAATATTGCAACACATTGGTGCTTCCTCCTAGGCTTGTGCGAATAGTGAATTTTAGGCTTGAAGCGAATAGTAATTTGATTTGAATACCGTAATTACTGTAATCTAACGCGCACCTTTTTTCCGGTTAAGCAAGTTCATAAATGGCATGCGCGTTAGAATCGAGTATGAAAAAAAAAAAATGAATACGGTTGGGCCGTCCGGCAAGCCCAGGATGCCGCCCGGGTCCAAGGACTCGAGGCCGTCCCCTAGGCCGGGGTGCTTGTAGCCCCACCCCGCTCAATGACGCCAGACATGTTCAATAAAGTTTTTACTCACTCACTACGGTCATTCTATTGCCATCGGCATTTCCAAAATGGCCGCCCCCTACGTGCGTCGGCATGGCGCGTCGGCCATTTGTGCCTGTGCTTCTCATGTGCGGCACTTCGTACGTGTGCTGAGGAGTTCGTCATCTGGTAGTGCATTAGCATCGACGGCATGGAAGGGCCGACTCCAAAAACTCGACGAGTGCACCAAGATGCCGCTTTTAAAAGAAAAGTCATCGCGTGTGCCGAAACGGACAGAAATCGGGCCGCATCGCGGTCGTTCGGAGTTCCCGAAATGTGCGTGCGGGACTGGCGGAAACAAAAGCAGAATATTGTCGACAACAAAGATTCACGTAAAGGCTTCAGTGAACCACAGAGGGTCGGTTTTCGCAAATTGAAGAGTTGCTCGGCGAGTATGAGATTGAGCAATGAGCGGCCCGTGACGACAGAACTGCTCGAAGTGCAGGCTATACAGTTAGCCTTAGAAAAGGGGCTAATGCCGAGCCAGTTTAAAGCGAGCAGGTGCTGGCTAACTAACTTTATGAAGAGGAAAGGCTTTCCCCTCGGAAGGCGAACGGGCATATGCCAAATGTTGCCGGAGGAGTACGAAGAAAAGCTTCACAGTTTCCAGAGGTTCGTCCTAAACTTGCGGCACAACAACGGCTACCTGCTTGGGCAAATCGAGAATGCCGATCAGACGCCTCTTTACTTCGACATGCCTGGCACCACAACTGGCGAGAAGAAGGGGGCGAAGCAAGTTCGTGTGCTGACATCGGGCCACGGTAAAACTAGAGTGACGGCAATGCTCTGTTGCACGTCAGATAGGCACAAGCTTCCCCCGTACCTCATATTTAAACGGAAGACGGTCCAGAAAGGAGTCGTTTTCCTGAGTGGTGTGATCGTGCGGGCCAACGAGAAAAATGGGTGCGCGTTGCAATCGATGTCTTACTTTTTTTTTTTAATCGTGGAAACAGGGTGCGCGTTACAATCGAGGGCGCGGTAGAATCGAGTAAATACGGTACTTCAGAATTTCCAGTTATCTAAATTCAAATTGATGCTAATTTGAATGAATTATTATTCATACAAATATTCATAGGCCTGGAATATTTGCACAAGCCTTTTTTCCACTATATCACACTTCAACTAGTAGACAAATATTATAGGGGTCCTACAGCACTTTTTGAACATGGTAAGAAAATACTGCCCAATGGTAGTCCAGGCTCCTGCAAGCGTGTGAGTCGAACATTATAGTAACACAGCATGCAGCATGGAATGTACAATTAACTTTCAAAGTGAGCTTGAAATCCCTAGTTTTTCTGTTGACAAATGATACCATAAACTCAATTTGGCTTATGGCCATTGGCTGATTTGAGCATCGTGAGCTGTGTAGTCCCCACGGCCAGCACAATGTGGCACGCTGCACCCACACTGTGCCCACACATGGCATGGCACAGCATGGCATGGCACCGCGTCATGTGCCATTTGGTAGAATTATGCACAATATAGAGTCACACCTGTGCACTCACAATTACAGTGAATGGGAGCCACACGTTCAAAGAAAAAAAAGTGCTTAAAGTTATGACACACACCAACATAAAGACACCAACATGAAGACCCAGCTTCTTTCTCCCTTATGATAACTCGACTACCTTCCAGCACACTCACTGGGACAAAAGAGGAGAGAAAGTACTTAAAGCATGCGACTAACTGCTGTAACTTCACGCATACCTGATGAATTCTAAAAATTTTTGTGGCAGTCAATTTATTAGGCAATAAACTTGGATAGTGAGGTCATTTCAAGTAGGTGACCATTATGGCAAGGTATTAAAACACGGCGACCATTGTAGCATTTTACATTTCCCTCATGTAGTACTAAGAAAAAATAAATGATGGCAAATTTTCAGGCAGCTTACATGCTTGTGTGCCTCTGTCTTGGATGGATGACAGACTTGAACAAGATGGTCAAGCTGATAGAGCAACTTTTTGCTGGCGCTGTGAACCTGCAAGGAATGGTCCAACACATTTCAGGCAGTTGTTCAGTTCAAGCAGTAGCAGTAAAAGATACTTATAGAAAGCCCCTGCAGAAAAACTCATAGTGTTAACCAAAATGTAAGCTCTTCACTCAAATTGTACCCATGCAGTTACCAAGTATATGCAGGACCAGAAAAAATGTTGCCAAAACCAGAAAATATCTTTGAATCCCTTTGGTGATGAGTTTTTGAATGGACCAATAAAATTTCCTTATTTGCCAAAATAAGCACAAAAACTGTGGTTTGCACTATTTAACACAATTCATGAGCATTTACAGCTGTAAGAGCCTCATGATTCCTTTCACAGAACAGCAGTGGCAGTAAACTGGACACACGCATCTTCATTATAGATGCTCTGCTTCACGACCACAGCAGAATACATAACCACAGTAACAGACTCCACGGTGCTCCATAGGCACATGACAAACATGAAATCATTCCCAGCACAAAATGAGAAGAGTAGGAACATGCAAACTAGTTTGCCCCAGCTCTTTCCTATGGTTCCTAAGGTTCCTATCGTAAATTTCTACTTTTACGAGGGATGGTAGTGTACATGCACACTCTGTCACCTAATTTTTATAAAAGTTTCAGCTCATGATGATCTGTGCTCATCCAAAACAAATGTTCCACATCACTCAGTCACCCCCCCCCCCCCATTTCCCGTAGCTAGAGGTGAAGTCTCAATTACGTTATTCTGTACCTTAATAAGGGTCTAATCAACAGCGTTTTACTGTATTTAAATGGCAGGCCAACTGACTCCCAAACAACTAAAGGTTGCAGGCATGATATTTAAAATAAACATGCTTTCTTTATTGCATATGACCTTCTAGAGCCTACAAACAGGAATAAGGAAGGGACAACACAATGAATACAAATGACTCGCACAGCCCTCACCTTCAGTACATAATACATGCTATACAACAAAAAATCTGATTCTAATACCCAATGTTAATTTTGAAACAAAACTTTCTTTTACATGCTTGTACATAAACCTGCAGACCGACCAAAAGTAAGGCATACAGTGTTGAAAGTTACCGTGGAAATTGCTCAGCATTTTAATGGCAAGACCTATCTTTCTGAGCAGCAAAAAGGCCTTCTGCAGCACAAAGTTATCATTAGTTGCAAAAATATCCAGGCATTTCTGGCTGAATCGACTTGAAGTGATGAACAACGTTCACTGAAAGACAAAGGAGGTGGCAATCTTTAGCACGCATGAATCTAGCCTAATGGTGTATTCGATTGGCCACCCCGGTCCCTTGGCTGTCTGGCACCAGATGCCAAGGCAGCTTCCAAATAAAGCCTTGAAGGCAGCATACCAACCAAATACATCAGCAATCTCACCGTAGCCCACCTGAAGAGTCACAGTGCACCCAGTGTGAGAAGCAATCAGGTAAATATCACTGCACTGCATCGACAAATGGTGACTTTTTGCACCTTTACTAGCTGCCTCCTTTTTGACATGGTGCATTTATGGCTTCATAGATGTGAACTTGCCACACAAATGCTGAAAAATGCCATGAATAACACATGTGCATAAAATATTACACATCCGACAATGTCCCCATCCAGAATTCACACTCGTGCTGTCAGCTGCCAGCAACATGATCCGTGATCACGTGGTTGCTGGCTTGTGTCACGCAATCCACCCTTCCAGACAGATCGCGCCACGCTCTCACTTTTCAGTCACAACAGTTGGGAGTGCTCCAAGTTGGAGTTTGACACTCCAAAAGAACCAACTGAAGGCAGTTCGAGCATTCGAACTTTCGCAAACGAATGCGTGACTGCTTTTCAGAGCGCCCCATAGCATTAGTAAAGACCTGCTGAATATGCCATAAGGGTGTTTGAACTATGACATTGTTTAACCAAATGAGACTGAATTGTTTAAAACAAAGAAAATCCTAGCTTTTCATTTCAAATGAGATATTGAATATTGTCACATTCCTAAAGAAAGAAAAGAACACCGCACTTTGGTGATGTCAACATATAATATGGCCTCCTACGAAAATGAGGCAATGAAGTAATGAACCAGTAGGCAGCTTATAGAAATAAAAAATTTAAGAAAAAAAGAAAAGAAGGCCTGCTTTATCCATTTCCTCCGAAACCAGCACAAACTCTTACAGCAATAGTGCCCGTGTAAAGAGAAGTAAATTATACCATAAATTATGGTTTCTAATCACATTATGCATTTTATTAAACTCAGTATTCAAACTACAGTGACCATCACATCTTATGTAGGACAAATTCAAATATTTCTTTTAAAGGGTAGGTTTCTAAGGTTATGCCCAAATGCTGCATCTTGCACTTTCAAGTACCCTACGAAAAGCAATGGCAGTGCAGTTACTGTGACAATAAGATATTGCTAAGCTAAGGAACAGTCATCTAGCATCCTAGTAGGCCAAAGTAGTTCTGTCAGCTGTGTTGTGCTTCTGCACAATTACCGTATTTACTTGCATAATAAACCCACTTTTTTTCCTCAAAAAATCGCAGCTAAGTTGGGGTTACGTTTATTATGCGGGTCAAAGTTCATGAAAACTTTTTCGGGATGAGCGAGAAATGTGGTAATGCAAAAAAAAAGTTAGGGCACTTAGCCTTTCGCAATTGACATACGCGTATACTGTTTGGAAACAGCTTCTTTGTTGCACTTTACTAAACTTCCGTGGTTAACGGCGCTATCTTCTGCAAGCTGTCCCCGTGTCGCCCGCGCACGCCATAAGAGCGTTTTGCGACTATCTTCTCTCGCAATCGTTTAACTGCAACAGTGGTATCTGCTGTGATCTCGAGGAGCACTCAGAAGCGTGAGCTACGACGCACTTTGCCAACTTAGCGGCAACCTCGCACGACCACCGCGCCGCCGCCGTTGTCATTGTATCAAGTAACCAACATTGCAGCAAGCTTCCCCGAAGCATAAAAACAAATCGGCGATAATTAAGATCAACAACAAATACGGCCGACACCTTGCTTTCACATGAGAAGCTTCTGTACGTGTAGAGAACAAGCGAAGCGAGAATTGGGGATGTTAGCATGTTGTGGAAATTATCTCGATCTTTTCTGGGTGACAAGCAATTTTTTCTGGTTTTCCAGAAGCCTGCGACGCGATAGAGACAAATGACTCTTCGCGACAGCAAATGCTGCCGTCGCTCAAAAATCGCGTGCACGTCATTAGGCATTTAAAGTTTGTTTGTTTGGAGGAGGGGGCAGACCCACGCATGCGACCGCGGCGGTGAAAAAGGGGGCACCACCGGCTCGTAAGGTGCAGGCCTGCCTGCCCGCCTTACACAAACGCGGCCACTGCTTCGCGCTTCGGTGGCGGCGGAGCAGCGGCGAAAGATGGATGCTCGTGCCAAAATGCCGAAATGCGGAGCAAAATTCCAAGATGGTCCATGGGAAAAATTCATTATATCAAGGTTTTCTATCGCAGTTACTTTGTTACATAGAGGTCACAAATACATGTGTTTCAATAGAGCGATGGTGGAGAATAGAAAAACTTTGCTATATCCAGGAATTTGTTATATGGAGGTTTGTTATAAGCAGATTTAACTGTAGACTACCATTTTTATTTTCACAACCTTTTAACATGGCAAATTTTTGAGGCTCTTCAGCTTTCCTGAAAAAGCGGGCTATATTAATATCACAACTGCATGTAAACATGCAGTTGACTGCAGTGCAACAAACAATGGTAACAAAGAAAATAACAAATGGATACACTAGATAACTTACCTCGGTATACGCTTGGCACATGGCTTCATAGAGGGACTGATGTTTATGAATAAGCTCCTCCAAGTCAGCGACTTCACGTGGAATACTGGATATTTCACTAGACTTGCTCCAAGATGGCACATTTGCCAAATACTAGAAGAAACAACAACAGGCACAACAGAAGTTACAACTGCCTTAGATGGCATTCAATACATACGAAGTTCTTAAATATGAGAATAATAGATATTCTTTTAAGAAAAATAAAAAATTGTGCACTATTTTACAATGTACCTACATCGATATTGAAAAATAAAAGACATTAATAGGAAACTGGGGTTTAACCATTATGGCACACAAGTATGAATTAGACATTCCTAATTTATTCCTGTAGCACATCAAGCAAATTTATGTCTGTGCAAAAGTTTTCTGTAGAAGCTTACACACAACAATTAGCCGTGCTTTTGAATGAATGGATGAATGGATGTGTCCGGCTTTGCCCTTTAGATAGGGCGGTGGCTCACGCCACTTAGCCATAAAGTTAAGTAATATCACTATGTGTTTAAGGATTGAATTTCACTTGCGCCTTGATTGTAGCCACCAGTCAGCTAGCTTCCTCCTGGTTATTTCTACCCGTATAAAGTCTATTTTGCCTTCACTGTCCCTAAACGCCAATTCTTTAAAAAATTCAGCGCCATTATCTTCGACTATAGGATGGAGCCCTTTACAGAAAATTATCAAATGTTCAGCCATTTCCTCCTCCTCTCCACACGCACTAACTATCGTGTCTGTGCCTTCGTATTTGGCTCGGTATGTCTTGGTTCGCAATACTCCCGTTCTGGCCTCGAACAGCAGAGAACTACCCCGATAATTATTGTAGATATTTTTTTGCAATTTTCTGCTTGAAAGCTCGGTAGGTCTCCAGTTATGATTTCGTAAGCATTCCAATCATACTCCCTCTCTGTTTACTTCACCTTCTTCTTAACCAATGTTTCCTTTGGCTTGGTATTCTGCTGTTGTCTAAATACTTGCTTGACAATTTTCGAGTTCGCTTCCTCGATTTAGTATCAACATTTTTCATGTACAAGTAGCTGAAAACTTTCCTAGCCCAATGCTTCTCTTCCATTTTTCTCAATCGCTCCTCAAATTCTATCTTGCTGCTAGCTTCCCTGTACTCAAACGATGTCCATCCCATGTCACATTGTACCCCCTGATTTGGGGTATTCCCATGTGATCTCGAAGCAAATCTACCTATGCCACGTTACTTAATTTCCAATCTTGCTTGGAACTTTGATTTCATGCACAAGTGCATGAAATCAAAGAAAGAAGTTGGATATTGGTGGCCACCTGAAGGTAGCCACCAACATCCAAGCAGCAAGAAAGCATTCCACAGTTTCTTGATACTTTCTACATTCCCATTCATAAGTATAAATAACAATGACATAACACAGACTCAGCTCACAAACGCACCATCTCAATAAAAGAACATCTGCACCGACTCTATGAAGAGCCGCAAAAATAAAACAGAAGAGAAAAGGGGAATAAGAAACTTGTTCACACGTTTCAAAGCAAAGGGAATCCCAATTAAAGGCAAATTTGCTTCACCATAGTGTTTATTACACTCACACCTCAATATAACAAACATGAATATAACGAAATATCAGTTATAATGAAGTAAATAATAGTCTTGCAACAGATACAATGTTAATTTTCGGATACATATAATTTTCGGATACATATAACGAACTTATTTTCTTGTAAGATGCAACTTTGTTATAATGAGGTTTCAGTGTATCATCATCATTCTGGTGTCAAATCAAATGTATTAGCAACTTCTGCACACAATGGTTGACAGCCAATATTAATCAACTTGACAAATTGTTGATTTGTTCTAATAAAGGCAGGTGAAGGCAGAGTTTTCCAATCTCTTACTAACCTGTTGTGCTTTTTGGTGGAAAAGTACAGAGAGGGACAATACTGTGGTTCTTTCATCAAGGCCTGCTGCAAATTCTTTCCAAGCATGGTCGAGCGCAGCCACAATCTGCTGTACAGATCCAGCAGCATAGTGGCCACCATCAATAAGCCTTGATCCTGTTACCAAGATCCTGTTAATGTTCACATAGACATTCTGCAAATAACAAATCCAAATCAGCATTCAACAAAGAATGGAAACAAAAGCATGTATTAGACTGTCTGCAATGTGCTCACCATTGAAGCCATTGTGAAATGATCATGTTCTTCTTGCAGAACTTTTGCATCTTGAATGGAATGTCCAATTTCCACATAATTCATTAAAAAACGCTCCTTATTATGATAAATCCATTCTAGCATCTGTAAAAAGTCCACAATTATTGATTGCACTTTGGCGACTTTTTTACAAAGGTGTTGCACGAAGGCACTACTAAAGACACAAATGAACCAATAAAACATATCCGCCTCAACATAACCCAAACATACTAGGAAGTTTAAAAAAATAATGCTGGCTGATTCAACAGAATAATGTTTACAAGCTGATACTTTACTGTATCTGTTCAGCCCTAAGGTTGTGCGGCCCAAACGAATGCTACATGACATTTCAACATTGCCAATCAAGAGCGTCTGGAGTGAACATTCAATAAAGCCAGAAAGCTGCTGAACGCATTGTGCATATGCCTGTCTGTTTTCATGCACACTATTACTTAGAAATGCCATTTCCTTTTTCTAGGTATGGATGACTAAATAGCAGAAACATAGTTAGAATTTGCAGAACTTTCTACTGTCAACAGGATGACTACCAATGCTTGAAATCATCTAACGAAAGATGACTCGCATTTAAGCAGTGGGGAAAAAAAAGCCAGACCTAACGCTTATAGAGTAAAATTCTGTTCTTACAATAACTCTAGGTTAAAACAACAGCAAAACTGCATCACTTCAAGTAATGAAGTTGCCTTATGTTGATGAAAAATAAACATTATTATTATTATTATTATTATTATTATTATTATTATTATTATTATTATTATTATTATTATTATTATTATTACTCGAATTATCATTATGCTCAAAGTTTCTTACATTATGTGTGATCCTTTTCCTTTCTTTAAAGCAGAAGCACTGTCACAAAATTTCTAAGGCGAGATAATGAGCTAGATAGATTTATGTGGAGACATATGACATCTACAAGATATTAAAAGCAAATATGGCCTATAACATATTTAAAGGGATACTGAACAAAAATGGGAGGAACTGACGAGACTTCGAAATTCCACTCGGGAGATGCTACTGTTTCTATAGAAAGTCAATTTCCCATATTTTTTAAAAGTTGGCTGTATTTTGGATGGATTGTCAGCACCCAGCGGCATGTGAGCGCAGACCGCGACGTCACAATCTCAGAGAAAAATCATGTCCCCATCCCCCCTCCCTTTCTTCAACTCTCCTTTCATCCCATTCTCCCCCTTCCACAAAAGCACTGATGCTTTACCCTCAGCCGAGAGTATTGTTTGCTACCAGAACTGATGGGGGAGCTGAGCGGGTCAAGAGACGCGGGCGATGGCTACTTTTGTTGGCTTGCCAGTTTTCGGGCGCTAGTGACGTTGCCCCCTCTGGTTCAAGGAGCAGCCGCTAGACGCGGCAGTTTATGAAAAACCCATTAAATTCATTATTTTTTTGTAGTTTCTGCCTGGTATGATGGTTGTCTCTAATGATTTCATGACCGAATTTTTAAAATTGGATGAAAACCTTGGCGGCAAAATTTTTTTCAGTATCCCTTTAAACTCAAATTTAAAGTGCACGCCGCACAACTGAACGACATACGGAGCCCCTCGGGACGCTGACATCAACGCAGAGGCAATGTAAAGAAACCTATGTCACGAGTTTTGTGTTGGCTGGTTGCTGGCACACGCCTTGCAGTTGCACTACCTGTGATTTCCGCCTCCATGCCAACAGATTCGAGTGTGGTGTCACTGCAGCAACCTCATGCGCGCGGCGCCCACGTCACAGTTTTGCATGGTGACGTGGCCAGTTGCGCCCTCGGAACTGCTCCTGCCTAACTCGGTGCTCTTTGAAATGGAAACTGAGACTGGGCACTCTGAAAACATCTCTAAATAAATAACCATCGCACACTCGTGCAAACGAGGTTTCCAGCCATGTTAAGTGGGTCATAAGCTATTTATTGCAATAACAACAACAACAAAACAAGCTGCATATTTTTTTGTGCGGTAGCACAAGATAAGGCAAAATTTGGAAATTAAAAAATAATAATTTTTTTCTTTGTAGTTCAGGACCGGTGGCTCTTTGGGCATATTTTTCACATTCGTGCTTTTCTTAAAAAGGATTTTTGTGGCTCCAAACCAGTTTTTCCCAAAGCAAGTAACGAGTGAACACGCACCCTAGGACAAGCCCTTTATATGCACTGAGTGCTTATGATTCATTTTTCATTTTTCATTTAAAAAAATAAACGTGCACAAAAGCCAAAATGGTTGTTCAGAGTCGGCTGTGTATAGGAAATGCTCGGGTAACTTTAAAGTAGCTCGAAGATGCTGTGCACCTTTTTATTCACACTTGTTTTTCAAAACGCGTCTGTTCGAACACTTTCAGCTCCTACATTTATTGCACCTTGTGTCTGTCATGCCTGTTGATAAGTTGAGACGCTGAGAGAAAAGGTCTTCAGCAAGTGTAAATAGCAAATACAGTTTTCTTGTAAATGAGAAAAAATATGACGGAAACCTACTGACATGCTGAATGCTTAACCAGCAAGCTCTTCATAATTGAACCTCCCAGCCTTTCTGGCATCCATTGAAGTGAATCCCGTGTAGGGTGAAAACGGGTATGCTCTAATAAACATGACTAATATGAGCGATGCAATTAGACCAAATTGTACATGCAAACTTTACAGTGCAAGTGTTGAACTAATTGGAATCATGTCACAGAATCTTTGCTGTCCTTGTTTAGGCTTCAGTCTCAAGAATCGTGGCATTGGACGCAGTTCTGTCATTTAGTGATAGCAGCATCATATGAGCCGAAATTCTGAAATAAATAGGATTGAAACCTGGCCAAAATTCAGACAATTTGCTAGAAAATGTATATCACAATTAAAATTGCCTATAGAGGTGCACGACAGCTCACAAAAGAAGCAAGGCAAGCAGGACAAGGGGCTCCAAGGTGAAAAATTGACCTTGACACTGATTACCAAGCTTGTAGCTACTAAATAAAATAGTTGAACAGTGTTTACGGCAAAGTACATTTGCTTTTCAACTGTTTTCCATATTTAAGCTGGATTATTTCAAAACCATGTCTTTTATTATCTAAGTACTACTAATTCCTATGTATTCCAAGATAACCAGCTGATTCTTTTTTTTTTGTATTCTGCATAAATGCACATAACTACTGCCCCCTCATTGAAACAACTCACTTTACAGTTTTTGCGTCACTAATTTTCAAAGATGCAAATTAACTCATAATTTAGGTCCTAGTGATAAAAAAATTACCAAGATTCTAATATTTATCAGATTTAGATAAATCTGTTTCAGCTATAGGAGCACAAAATTTGAAAGAAAATAAAATATGCATCATGTGGTATTCCTTTTGGTCGCTTAGAAAACGGTACCTCAAAATGGTCGAAATTGAAATGAACTTATAGGACTTACCCTGTGCCCACTAGTCACAAAAGCGAAAAAATTCGCATTTTTATTAAAAGGGCACCACTGACCAACCTAAGATCATCAAACATTCCTCTTTCTGCAATAAGGAACAGCAGCAGTTCCTCCTGCTATCATGTTATATCACAGTGCAATTCAGTCATGAATGTCTTCACAATGTAGATTAGGAAAGACAAGCATAAAAAATAAAAGAGTTAACAGAATGAGAAGTTTGAGATGAATAGAGATAGATATACCACAAGAACATACGGAACAGAAGAACAAAGGCAGGAACGAGGTGGCTGTGCTACTTGAGGGAGGCAACACAGTAATCGCCTGTATGTATATACACAAGGGAAAACCTGTGCCTGTGTTATCTATGCAACAAAATGGCAAAAAAACAAAGAATTATGCAGTGCATCGGAACACCTAGCAGAAACAGCACAGGTGCCAGGCTGTCACACTTATCTTCTTGTTGTTACTAAAGTCTTTTGACATGTCACCCAAAAAACAATACTCAGAACACCTTCATTATTTATCAACAACAATCACAACATAAAGGCAATGCAATGTTAATTTTGTATGAGCTATTGCTTGGTGTTTCATACTTGGCTACAAACGAGATCTCTACGAAGTTCCTGAATTTCACTATGTAATGTTACATACTTCACTATGTACACTTTTTGGCTCAAAAATTCTGCTTATTTGCAACATACAGGTGCAACAGCACATAACAAGCACACAGGCTTAGTTCAAACTACTGTCTCAACAAGACTTGCAAGGGTCATGTCCTTCCAATTAGGAATCATCATATTCATTTACTCAAGCTTTGACTTAGTGGAGGTCAGCTCACCAAAGTCAAAGCATGAGTTAAGCAAGAATGCAACAGACATGTAACTAATGAAGTGATAGCGAAACGACGCGCTCTGGGCGTACAGGAAATGTGCCATCTGAGTTACGTCAGAACGGAAAGCTCAGGTGACAAACTTTCAAAAAAAGGTGCATCGCAGGAGAATCTGGTCAGAAAAAACACAAGTTGTCCTAATACCCCACTAGACAGCTTTTGCATTTAGTGTGCAACACTTATACATTTTTTGTTTTTATTATTATTAAACTGTAATGAAATGAAAAAAACTCTTTTGCTTGTCTGCGAGTAGCAGTGTTGCAGTGGCTGCTGCATGTTTTTATGCTGTAAGTGAAATAAAATATGAAAATTGCCTGGAAATTTGCTTGTGTGCAGTGAAAAAAAAAACACAAAAAAGAACAGACATGCACTAGACATTAAAAGAAGAGAATGAGAAACACCTGTAGGATATTTGAAATGACTTGCAGCTTTTCCTGAGCGAATTCTGCTGTGACGAGCCTTTTTTTCGAAGGTTGTCATGTGAGCTTTTCGGTCTGACATAACCCGTGTAAAGCATTTTGCTGCGCACTCGGAGCACTCAGTTTCCATATCAACTACACTGGGGTCCTCAGTTTCGTTTATTGATATCTCAAAACTGCATGCGTTTTTTTAGTTTTTTTTAAATGAGTATTAAAAATGGATATGCCATAATTTGTCCCGTCCTAACACTTTTCTATATATACAACAATCCTCAAGTTAATGATTAAGAAGTTAATGAGCTTTTGTTACATGTTCCTTTCAGAGAAACTTAACGTGTGCCAAACTTTTTACATTTTGGCGCAGTGTTTATTTGCATACACAACAGAGGTGTGACAGTCGTGGCATTTTTATAAAAAATTTGTATGGTCTACAAAAGCAGCCCATACAGGCGTTTCTTCATAATATGCAAGCTCATGTACTGAGTTTGTACCACACTATATAGCAGAAGCAGTCATCATAATGCACTAAGCTTTGCGTAACGTACTAACACATAATCGGAAAGTTGTGGATTAGAATCCCAACAATGCAAAGGTGATTTTCCTTCCACTTCAATTTTTTTTCAAGTTAGATCAAAACCATTATATTAGAGTTGGAATAAATAAAAAAAAAACAAATAATGTCCCTGATGATTTCCTTAGCTAATTAAATCAGCAAACAATAATCTGCTGATCTCATTAGTTGTGCCTAACAAAGAAACAAGCCCTTAAAACAATTCCCTTCTTTCAAGACACAGAGATATGCACATACAAATCAAGTAGCACTGTCAATCACAGTCACATGCAGAGCCTAAGTGCTAATGTCCCTCTAGAACGCCAGCAGTGGCACTTGCCTTGTGGGCATCTTGCTGGTATAAGCTCAGCTGCAGGGCTTGGTCTAGTTGTACCTTACGCACATGCCAAAGCTGGAGAACATGCTGCCGCGCTAGCCGCAGGCTCTCCAGAAGCCGGCCAACTTGAGGTCCAGCTGGGTCACCTCCACTTGAGTAGCCAGAATCACTGCTCCCACTGCCCCCACTGCTTACACCCAACCTGTCGACCACAAATCACACGCCTGTTTTAAAGCAGCCCCAAGTTTTGATGGACAGCACAACCAAAGCAAAATGCGCAGAGAAGAGGACAGATAATTGAACTCCCAACAACTTGTTTTCCTGTTAGCAAATACATGCCACACAGAAGGACAAAACAGATGAGTGGCAAACAATTGAATAAAATCATAACACTTCAATTATTCAATGTGAACTGCTTTGATGGTGTAACGAGTTAATGACAAAGTTGAAGGTATAATGAGTTACTGACGGAGTTCAAGGTATACACTCCGTGCACAGCAACTGGTGTGCCATGCCTGTCAGAGCAGACAGCCACTGAGAGCCTGAGCAGAACCAAATGCTTTCCCAGTGCTCGCTAGCATGTAGTTTATTGGAATCATGAACTGTTGCGTAGTCGATTGCACCAAAAGGTACACGTTGTGTCCTGCAGGAACTACATTTTACAGTTTTTCGACTCGTCCCTGCTTTATTGGGCAGCAAAATTAGTTAAAAACAGTTGTGAGGCATAAAAAGTGTTTGGTTCCCGCACCCTCTGTCGTCTCTCGTTCTGCTGCTGCATGCTTGAATTGGTCTCAGACACCACCTCTGCAGGTGCAATAATATTTCGTGACATTCCTGCTGCCATAATGCTAGTGAGAAAAGAAAGTTATGCAAGATATTTTAATTCAGCTTATGGCTGGTGGAATGCTTCAAAGAACCTTGATAATTATTAACTCACCGTCAACCCTTACAGCTTTGGGGATTGCAATGAGAGGTCAATTAGTGCTTTGCTGGGTTGATAGAACCATCAGTTAAGGGGCGAACTGAGTTACGTAGCATATTACCGTAAACACAACTAGCTGACCCGAAGTACTATGTGAATGCGGAAGCATCAGGCTAGGCCTTTGACGGGTTGGTTGACCTTTATTAAACTGGTGCAACCCATCATGGGGATTCGTCATGAAATTAGCGGTGCCTTGTTATATAAAAAAATTTTTTGATAATATAGAAATGCTTAACAGTAGGTTGCTTTCAAAACAAGCAATTAGTTTAATGAATAAAAAAGATAGTATTGAAGAATAAGCCTGATTAGATAACCTTAGCATTCATTCCATTTCGTCTTGCGTAGTAAATAGCATTCGTCATCGCAAACGCTCCATTGGCTAAAACATTGCGCTATAGCCTCAAAAGAACAAAAACCCGAAGTCTTTTTCTTTGATTGATAAACAATCTGCATGTTAGGAAGAAATGATGCAGGGCAAAGAGCAGCAGAACTACAGAGTCAAAAACAAAGCTTCACCAGTTCTGCAGTGACAGATGCATGTTTTGGAAACTAACATAAACAATGCAAGATCTTGTAGTGTATGAGAGAGACATCACCGTGGCCGAAGTGATTGCCATTTTACAAGATGAAGTGAAAGACAAAACAGGGCTACGGCGACCTCTCTGGCTGAAATCGTAGCGTCTTCTCTTTCTCGCCCACACCTCAAGCTCTTAGCATAGCTGCACGAGCGGTGAGGTACAACCACAATCATGATGAGCGAGGATTATGCCGCGACAATTTCAAGCAAAACAATTGGCGAGACTTAGTGGTTGAAAATCACTATGGTACGAAGCCACAACAAATGAGCACACCACTGGCCACTCACCTTGATTCATTCCACGGGGAATGGCCGTGGAGCCATCAGTATTTCTAAATTCTCCGAGTATTCTGCAAGAGCGCTAGTAGTGCGCACACACTAGTTATATTGCCCCGGCGCGGTAGTCTTGTGGCAAAGGTACTACTAAGCTGCTGACCCACAGGTCGTCGAATCGAATTTGGGTTGCGCTGGCTGCATTTTTAATGGAAGCGAAAATGCTGTAGGTTCATGTGCTCAGATTTGGGTGCACGCTAAAGAACCCCAGGAGGTCGAAATTTCCAGAGCCCTCCCCTACGGCGTCTTATAATCATATGGTGGTTTGGGGACGTTAAACGCCACATGTCAATCAATCAATCACGAATATTATTGTAAGTGTGAAATAAATGACAGCTTACAGCAACAGTTACGAAGCAAGCCTGACGCACGCATTTGCCATCAGTACTGATGACGGGCAGCAAGGCGCTCACTAACGTGGAAAACGTTGCCACTTTCGTGCAGGCTTTCTTATTCACAGTGATATTGCAGAAGAATGTCTCCCTACAATATCTTAAAATCCTGCTCAAAGAACCAACGCACCAGCCACGGGCACTTTTGCCACCATAGATGTCAAAGCAATGAGGAGCTGCTGTCGGCTATACGATTCTCAACGTTGCACACCCGTCCCACCACAAGTGGCCCGCGCTGCGCCCGCCTTTCTATGTGCCCCCTATAGTTCCCAATAGGAGTGGATAAGCTCCTTCCCTTTGAGAGCAATAGATGGTGTACTAATGCAAGTCTCGTTTAAGGGGAGATGCAGGTCGAAGAAAAGTTTTTCCCTAAATTACAAGTCTTTCATTTTAATTTGCATGTTTGGTTTCTATAATTTCACAACAAAAAAAAACTGAAGATTTTAATTAAGCTCGAATTAGGTCAAAATTGCTTTTAAAGAGTACAAGTTGGCTACCAAAAAAAATTGAAAAGAGCTCATTGTCTAAAGTATCCTGGAAATTGTCACCAGGCTGCTTGCTATTGCATTTCGCATGAAAAGTTCACTAAAGCAACATGCTCAAGATTACAATAACTACCAAGCTCTCATAATAAAAAAAATCATTTTAAAAACATATTTGTGCTGTATAGATAAGCCTTGACTTATACCTTTGAAATCTGTTTTTCTCAAGATCCATTTTTGGGCATTTTTGGGCAACTTCTTGATATTATAAATCTTGTTTTTGTTGCTTCTGATAGCCAAATCAGGATGAAATTTTGCCCAGATATTCCTTAATATGTGAAGGGTGCAAGTACCTTTTTTAAAATTTGATATTGTCTGTATAATTATTGCGAAGCTAAAGCAAGCAATTAGTATGAACTGAGACTTCCAAGAATTTCTCACATTACAATCTTTCGTGTCCACTAAAATGCCCTATATGCGCTTTTTTGATAGTTATTTGCATTCTACAGTTAATGAGAAGCAACACGAGCCATTGATGAATCGGAAACATAAAAGTTCAAAGACATAAAAAGTTTATCCAAAACAAACTATATTTTATACATCGTCATGGCACAAAACTAACACTGTGCAACTTACTACAAAACTAATTACATATCTTAAATCAGCATAAAAGCCTATCTATACAGTAAAAAAATTTCATTGCCCTAACAATTGACGAAACTTCTTTTTCGAATTGCATCTCCTCTTAAAGGGGCCCTGAAACACTTTTTCAAGCAACCATGGAATGAATTCACTGGAAAAGCTTATTGCCTCAGGAATTCAACGCCGCAAAAAGCTTAAGAAATTCGTCCAGTGCGAGTGAAGTTACAAAGGTTTGTCGCATGCTACCATTGCATTCTCTCTTCTCTCGTCCTGATGGAAGCACTGGAAGCTAAGCAGGGAGGAATGGGAGGGGCAAACGAAAAACATCCCGCGCGTCTCGTGACCTTGAGCACTTTTGTTTCTTTCAAAGACGGTAGTCTTTCTTGGGGACCTTCGACGCAAAAACTTTGATCTGTCTGTCTGTCTGTATATTTGTCTGTTTGTCCACCGTTACCGCGAACCGGGTATTTAAAACAGCACCAGCCGATACCCCGAACGACCTACCCCATCAGCAGAGCCCACCAATGTTGCTCAAGGATCAGCGTTCATATGTGTGCGATTGTCTATTAAAAAAGCAATTATTGCACATATCTGAGGCACCATAACAACACTTATATATTCTGCATGTTCGTCTTTTACTAGAAAAGGCATACATAAGTAATTCTAAGGACCATAGCGCTTATCACCCTGCTCTGACCATGCAACGCTTGCACGGAAAGGCGTGTGTTTCCAACGCTTTGCTAAAAAGACACGGTGGTGGCCCCTACCCGTCACTTTGCGTTCTACACCTTATCACCTCTGAGACGGGCGCGCACGCCCGTCTCAGGGCCACGCGCTTTGTTTTCCAAAAAAACTGCCAGATGGCGCTCATGTCTCACGTGTGACGTGACTTGATGCACTCGTTCGCCTCCGCTGCACGCTCGAGGCACGCTAACGCAGCTCCTCCGGAATACCATTCACCGATTTTTTTGCGCAGAACATCAAATAAATGTTTTGTTCACTATCTCCACATGCAAGACTATCGTCTTTCGACGACATTTGCAGATTACATGCAGATACGAGGCCAATTTTTTTTATTATTTCTTCGAATGCGTGGCTTTTTCAGTGTGATCGCGCGCGCACGTGTGGACAAGTAGCGACCTCCCGCGGAGATCTCTGTAACGAGCGAGTGCGCCATGTTAAAATCAGCCAATGGCTGATAGATGGGCTTGCTACGTGTGCTTTTTGGGCATATTCCGTGATTTGTCATGAGAAGAGAAAGCAATTTTCAGCTGACTTCGATAATTTATTTTAAATTGCAGGCCGTGGGCTGCGCTATAATATTTGGCTTGCATGTTCTCGGGAGCCTCTACTACCGATCGGCAGCGTTTTTGGACCACACTCAAAAAGTGTTGCAGGGCCCTTCTAAAGAAAAAATCTTTTCCACTCTAATTACCTCACATGTGATGTAATCTGTATACTATGAACTTCAGAGTACAACCACATAAGCTACACTTAGCAGAAAGCCCCAATCATTTCAAGTAAATCCCATTTTACTTAGGTATTTTTCATCCTTTCACTTGCCACCAGTCCTATGTAGCGTTCTTTACAGGAAAAGGACATTTTATAGATTATATTATTTGCATACACTTTAAAATTATTCTGGTATTTGATATAACTATTGCTGAGGATAAATCATTGGCAAAGTCACTCATACAAACTGCCATGTTTACATGGGGCTTAAAACAACCTTGATGTTGACAAAGCATCAAATAACTGTACAGGAATGATATGGCTATAGTTCTTGTGGTTCATTCAAACTTACATCCATAACAGGCAAAAAAATTTGCAGTAGATCTGAGTGAGAGAAACCACTACAAGTACTGGGTAGCCTGCAGTAGTAAACACTGCTCTTGTAAGTAGAGTAATGTTGCGCTTGGACAATTCACTCAGGCCATGAGCAAAAAAAAAGTCATGTTTTAAGAATTTAGGGTGCACCGAGGTAAATGTAAGAAGCGTCTTCTTGCCACATAAGCGACACAACAGTCTACACATCTTCGCATTTGACATGCCTTCAGGCTCCAACTCTAACACAGTGCACAGTGTCTCAGCCTTGTTTTAAATACATAATACAATACACATACCATACCCATTCCTACTAAACTTGTTGGAGAGAACCTATTGATTGATTGATATGTGGGATTTAATGTCCCGAAACCACCATATGATTATGAGAGACGCCGTAGTGGAGGGCTCCGGAAATTTCAACCACCTAGGGTTCTTTAATGTGCACCCAAATCTGAGCACACGGGCCTACAGCATTTTTGCTTGAAGAGAATCTAGGCGCTGCAATCGTGTAGCTACTACGGGAATTAAATTAGTATTACATACATATATTAAATTCACACATTCTTGTGGTTTTATTGATAACACGTCACCTGCCTTCTTTGGCCTAAACATTGAACTAATCTTTCATTCTAAGTGAAAAAGACAGTAAGACTTAGCGCACATGCCCAATTATTGTGAACTGTTGAAATTGAACAGCACCTTGCATTTAAAATGATCAATTCTCCCAGTCACAAAGCCATCTGAAACTATAAGTACAAAATTTTGGCAAGTCCACGTGCTAGCCATTGTTCCAGTGCATATTGAACCACCATGCTTGCAGCTCTCTGAACATTAACAACACAAGTTCACTCAGTAGTATTCTTTGCATGAAACTATAGTGGTATCACAAGATACAATCATTACTGCACAAATGACTGCACCTTCACAAATATCGACAAGTACCATAGATACATGTGCAACCAACGAAGCCACTGCAACACCAACTGGAACTAGAACCCACCTGTGCAGCACCTGCTGGCCTTCCAGGTCCACCTCATCCACAGGAATCTGTAGCACGCGCTTCTTGGCATTAAGGTGATCTTCAATCATGCGTTTAGCTCCTGCCACATCTTCAGCAAACTTTGTGCTCACCAGGTCTTCTTTCATCATCTCTAGCCGCTCCAGCAGCTCACTAGTTTTCCAAAGAAACTTCTCCAAGGCCTATCGTTAAAGCATAGTTCAGTTTGAGTGTTAGGGTTAATCTTAGAACATGAAATATTACATACATAGAACCTTCTTACAACTAGCGTCCTCTATAACTTGTGAAAATGAGTTTCCTCAAGCAACATATTCAATTTTTTCACCAACAAAATAATGAATTACAATTACGGTTAAATGAAAGCACACAAAGTGTTTCAGATAACTAGTAACAAATATTAAAATTACAAACATGGGCCCTATGTGTCTACAGCAGCAGACTCCTTTTGTAATTGTAAGGCTGGCTTTACCGCTATGCTGCTTGCCTAGCTAAAGGCGGCCAGCCACTCACTGAAAACAGCGTGTTTAACCACAGTTTGTTTGCGCTATCATGCGAAAAATGTAGACTCAGCTCTGTTGATACAAATGTGCATAATAGACAACCTCCACCATTTGTAACTAGGACCTGGTCTCAACTAGAAGCACGATAGATGCTGTCAATAGTTAAACGAATATGCAGTGCAAGAAAGCACTTGCAGATTATGAAAAAGGTTTGTCAAAGCAGCATGCTAGGATATTTTTTACAGTCCAACAAGCTCGATGATTAACATAGATTGCTTAATCAACATTAAAAATAGTACCCCAGCAAAAAAAAAATTGCGATACAAAGGTTGCAATGGTTGCTCAGAAACGTTAGTTTTTAAATTTATGCTAAGTCTCCTAACTAATTTCTTGTTCTGCCTTTCTTTAAAGCAAGTGAATTCCAAAAAATAAATGTGACTGCCACGTAAGACGTAATACTTTTAGCATAGAATTTCCTAAAATTAACTAGAGGAGACTCTGGCGCTGCGATTGTTCAGCGACCATGGGAATGATGTGTAGTATATGGGTTTGTATAGTCTTCGTACTTACAGGCGGCGAATCGCACTTGTGGCTTCGTTTATTGCTGGTTTCGGTTTTCTTTTGAAGAAAAGAAATCATTTTGAACTTCGTGACCCGATTTGAAATGGCAAGCCTATGAAGTTAAGCTGGTGAAGCATAACTGCCGAACATTTGCAGATTGTTGTTTTGTGAGAAAACAGATTCAGGCCACACGAACACACATGGAGCCATAAGTACGAAGATAAGACAAATTCGTGTACTACGCATCATTCCCATGGTCGATGAAGCGCCATGCATTGCAGCTCCCATAGACACTAGTGCCAGAGTTCCCTCTAGTGTATTTTAAGGAAACTTTATGGCTTTTAGTGCCCTCTGATTAGGGTTGTATGCGGAAATGTTTTCTGAGGGGGGGGGGGGGGGGCACCTTGTTAATTTAAAGTGGGGGCCGGACAGGCAAATGGTCACACTTTACAATGTGTATGCATGGCAAAAAAAAAATCTGAAGGAGGGGGTTGAGTGCCACTCTCTGGCTACGGCTCTGCTTCAAATGTAAGTTGGATGAATTATCAAAGGCTGCACTGCACACAGAAGTCGACTAAACAGGCTATCGATGACTGCGACGGATGTTCAGAAATGGTAGGGACGAAACGTCTAAAAATAAAACAACGAAAAAGAGGCCACAACGTTTGAGTGAACCTTTTCGTTTCCGTACTTCATCACACTGTCAACCTCGCCCCCTCCATCGTGCTTATTCACTGGTGAGAAAAGAAAAATAAATTGCTTACGTGCATCAAATCCTGCTAGGAGTTTCGTACAATAGTATGCCCCTTTTATCACCTACTATTCATGCAACAGTCAACCATAGCCTGTTGAATCGACATCTCTCTGTGAAGCAGCCTTTGACAATTTTTTCAACTTACATTTGAAGGCACTAAAATCGCTGTGTGCTAAACAGCTCATATGATATATTTAAACTCCATGTGCTTCAAACAAAGGCTGACAAAAAACTTATGGAAACTATCTTTGCAAGCATAGATTGAATATTCGCATGTTTCTGAATGAGCACTACAATTCTGTATTGAAGACTTTTCTCTTCAGTTACAATGCCAAAAATTCATTAACCGATCTTTGTCAAGTGCCGCGCTTGGCAGATAGAAAAAAATATCCTGACGTGCTCTGTATGCCCCAGAATAATACTATGCCAGTTCGAAACATTTAGCGGGATTTTAATTTCTTTAAATTTTAATACTTGGTCCTAGTTCACTGTGTCGTGACGAGGACGAAGGGAGCAGACCGCAGGTCGAATAATAAACTGTTTATTTGAGCCGAACTTGTGGCCACGTAAAAGGAAGATCAGATTATAGCAAGACACTGGCACTAATAGCGGCGAGCAGAGCGTCGGCCGTCGTTCAACTGAGAAGTGGCGAAGAGTGTTGGCATTTGTACCCTTGGGATCGAATATTCTAGCGTTATCGCTAGCGGCGACGTAGGTTCTCGAATAATCTGTGACGTTCTTGAAGTGGGCGTAATCTTAATGAAACGATCTACTAAAGCCTCGCAGCTTATCGAACATCGTAGGTGTGGTTCGCGCTGAACGTAGTGTAACAGGGTGATAACAATACTTGAGCAAAGGAACGTGGCAACTGAAACACCCTCTATACGTAGCAAGTCAGATCAAAGAAATGACTTATGCATGGTAGGTACTATTGGTGTCAAATGAAATGCAAACAGTGGAGTGCCTGGATTAAGCATTAGCAGAGGTACATTGAGTGCAGTCCAGTCATCACCAGTGATAGGCATGCGCATCCAGTTTGGCACCACAGCCTGATCCCTCCTACAGGCCGATATTGCCCCCTCTGTTTTTGTTATGATATTCGAAACGAAGTAAAAGAGAATTGAACTGAACAAAAATAATAAAATTGAATTGACCAAATGGGCTCGGCATGCCCATGGTAGCAACCATTATCACCATATCAGGATATCAGAACAAGAATACAATAAAACAAATTGCACTGCAATGGGATCATCGAGTGCTGCCAAATCGAATAATGTGCCCATCAGTGGTGATGACTGCACATACAAGACCACAGCAATTGTTTCGTCCACACGCTCCAGTGTTCGCGTTTCATTTGACGCCGATAGTACAAATACTGCAGCCAACCAACTGCTTGATGGATATACCATACCCATGTTATACACGAGGTTGGAAAGACTACATATTTACATAGATATAATTGACTCTATCCAAGTACATTAGCATAAGCTCAACTAATCATCAAAGTGACTAAAAAAAGGCCACTTTCTTATACTGTATTTTATTTATGCTTCACACTTTAAAAATTAAGCATGCTGGGTTTGAGGCAGGAAAATTTTTTATCTTTAACTGTCAATCACTTGTATCTCTTTTGTTTAGTGTTTGTAATATATACTAATGAATCATTAAAAAGCAAACCAATATCACAAGGCAACATACAATCGACTCTCATTAATTCAAACTTGAAGGGGCCTTTGAAATTTGTTTGAATTATGAGAAGCTTTCAGGTAGATGACACTGGGTGAGGTGATACTATACATTATGATTAAGCACTGATTTTATCACATTTAAAAATAACAAATTTTCAAGTGCTTTTAAACCCTTACTGCATGCAATAAAAAGAAAGCAGAGGTGTAAGGTGCACAAGTTTATAGGCCATTTACTACTGATTAGACCTTCTAAATAAATCGTGAATTGCCAAATGCATCTTTCCTATAGGTATGTGCCTTCAGCACAAAGCTCTCTATACCAGTTGAGAAGCATCATGGTTTAGCATGTGTGTGCTTTGTTTCAAACATTTGTTCACTAGCAAAGCCTTTTTCTTTGAAGGCCTGAGGCGCTTAATTTTCATTTTTTTTTTTTACTGTTAGAATTATATAAGTCACAAATTTTTAAACAGTAGTGAGAAAGCAGCAGATATTTTCTGGTATAGAACTGCAAAAAGTATGAATTAACCGAATGATGCAGTTTGAATTAGGAGGCTTTTAAATACATTGAAAGAAAGGAGGGCCAACCGAAAAATTAAATTTTGTTTGAATTAACCAAGAGTATGAATTATTAGACCTTGAATTATCGCAAGTCTACTGTAATTAAGGACAGGAAGGTTTCAAAAGGCAAAAAAAAAAAACTCCTGCCATTGCCAATCTTTCTCTATTTAATGTGAACACTCGTAATATCAACGTAAAATGAAACCCAAACAGCAGGAAGCACTTGCACTTGTGTAGTGTGCACTTTCCAGTTGTCACCATGGAAAGATGTACATATTCACAGTGTTGCCAAACCGAACATTCCCCTGTCAATGGTGATGACTGAAGAGCGCACACCAAACCAATGCGAATGCTTGCCACTGTTCGGGTTTCATTTGGTGCTGGTAGTACTTCACAGGCAATACAGTGACTGCCACGCTCAACAGGGAGTGCAGCAAAACAATGTTGTTTATCTACAAGTGTAAAAAAGTATGATGGTACTGCTGTTTGTAAAACAACTGATTTTACTAATTCTACATTTGGGGCAAGGTGTAAGGCAAACTGATTCACAGTATAGACAGCACATAAACACTAATATGTATATTTTCCTCTATGGTGCACCCCGTCTTACTGGTATCACCGAGCAAGATTTCACATATAGGTCAATGAATAGTTGATGCATATCGTCAAATAACAGCTGAATCAGAACTCTCTTCTCACATTACACAAGGATAGAACATGCTGGATTGATAAATTGATGTCACGTAACAATGCACACCAACAGACGTGCCTGAAGAGACAAAGGGTAAATAAAGCACCAGAGTGATTTCAATCACTTGAGGTTCTCAAACGCGCATCGCAAGTTTGGCATAACAGGTTTCTTAGAAGTTATTCTTGTGCCCGTGGCATAAGAACAACAGCTAAGAAATTTCTTATGAGGTTGACTACTGATGTGTTCCCACAGAATGAATGTGACCACAATTGCTCAAACACATAATTTACAATGGTCACATCGCCTAATTAAATAAATATGCTTTTAATATGCAATGTACTAATGCAGTAAAATCTATTAAGTTCCCAAAAACTCAAAAACATTCCAAAAGACTAGAGTGACCATTAACAGACCGAGAAGACAACATAGAACTTAGATTGCACTTCTCACCATTCGCAGTTCAAGCCACTGGCCATGGTCGTAAGGTAATGTCCCATCCAAGTCGGTTGTCAACTGTGATGGATCTATAGATTTTGAGAGTGCTTCTAAAGATATCATATTAGTCTGTAAATAAAAGATATAGTACAAAGTTAAAAGTTAGCCCATTTCCACTAATAGAGGTTAAATTCCAGATAATTCAGCAAATGAAAGCAACACCTGAAATTTGTACTAAAAGAAGCACTGATCAAAACAAGATCCCATGAGTTCCTTCGGATTGGAAGATAAATATTAAACACACACAGACCACAGACAAATTTTCTACCACCAACAAAGACGCAATACATACCTCAAATTTATATTTTGAACTACCCATACTTGTCCTCTGCTTTTGCCAGAAGTTTTCAGGTTTGACTATATACACAGCATGAATCTTTGCAGGAAAGTATTCCTGAAATAAAAGAGAACAAGGAAATGTATTACACCTCAGCTATCTATGTGCAGAAAAAAAAAACAAGCAACAGAACTTCGAAATCTGATCCACAAGCATGCAGCTGAAACATGTTTACATACAGAGCAATCACAATCAATCATACCACACAAGCAAGAAAATCTACCGCTCATGTTCCTAGTTAATAGGCACGAAGTCCTAAAGAGAAGATTTTCTCCGCAGGTCAATGCAGCTTCATAATTTAAGCAACCACCTGAAGCTCCCAGTAATTTCTATGTTGTAATGAATTGACTAGTTGGTGTAATCATTAACTAAAATAACAACTATAAAATTTATGGATATGTCAATACAGGTGGATTTTAGAGATCACTCAAAAACATGATTTAGTTTGTGGTGCACCATCTATAGCATAGCTCTTTAGCCTGGTTTCGAAATACTGCCTGCAAAACTTGAAAAACATATACACTGCAGCCCACTTGCACATTGCTGCAGTGCCGCGTCAAAACAGTAAACACAAAAAGGACTAAGTGTGTTTAATAACAAAATAAATGCTAAATCGATTTGACATGACATTAGTATAAACATAACCAATATATTCCTCTTGCCTGAAAGCTTTGCATTTATCCTGAAAGCCCAGTTTGTGAGAGCAATAAACTATTCATTAAAGCCAAGTCTAAGGAAGTACGTAGCAGAGGCCATTATCTTAAGTTAAACCAATCCTGACAGTGACATGAATGCAGGGGCCACCTCAAAAAGAGGAGATGTTTCTTATTCATAAACAGTCAATGGTGACAGGCTAAATTCATTCTCAGTGCATCTGAGAAAATCCCTGCTGTGACATGTATCCGAGTATTAGGCTACATCAGCTCTCCTTGTAATTGACAACTTAAATGGATTTTTTTTTTTTTGCCAAGCTTAAAGGAACTGCTATGGTAAAGACAGGGTACTACAACAAGCCAAGAGGAAAGTTACAATTGTTCTAAACACCATGTACTGTCATACTGACTGTAAATTTTTCTCTAATTATTATTGGTGCTAAACGTCTTAAACGTACATTTTTTATTGAAGAATCAATTAATCATCATCCTACCACGAGTGTTAGGGAGAACGCAAAATAATATAGGCTTGGTGGCTGCTAATAACATGGAAGGTGTTTTGTTTTTGCAACTACATAGAAATTAGGTAAAACAGTGCACATGTAATGCTGCTACATGCCTGGAGAACTTTAAGGATTGGTTTCACCGTAGCCCAGGTGGCTCCTCGCATGTCAATCACTACAGAGAAGCCAAGTTCTCTAGCTTCCTCACTGAAAAAGCATAGATGTGATGTTAGAAAGAAGCAATCCTTTTACAAGTAAATATTTATGGTAAGCAATTCATCATCTCAGCCTTACCAAGGAATGCTAGACAGGTAGGTTAAAACCTTGCGCATTTCTTCCGGTTTTAGCCGATCCGGTCTAGACCTAGCTGGGAAGGTGAGGACTGGGCCACCTCGAAGGTCACGGCCACCTAGGAAACGCGAAGGCAAAAAAAGAGCAATTCAACATGGCACTTATTGGTCTTATGTTATTCACCCCACACACAGCACAAGTTCATCAGTGAGTGTCACAAACGACTGTAATTTTCGATCGCCCGTGCACCCCATTGTTCAAAGAAGGGCGCTTTTGTGTTGGGAAGAAGACACCCGGCGACTAACGACGCAGCAGCGGTGCCGCCGCGTCTTTCCTACACCTGTACCGAAAGGACGGACATGTGTTCGAGGAAAAATAAATGACTTCGAGAGGGGACGTCTCGAAAGAGTTCTGACTGCTTTGAAATAGGATTCGGCAGTTGACGTGCAGCCATCAAGAAGTGAGGTCGTCGGTGTCGCGAGTCACGCGTAGGCAGCGAGCATGGAGTGACCCGCGCAACGTATTGAGACGGCTGCAATACCGGGCACCCTCGTCATCTACTAAGTGGCAAGATCTTCAGCGACACCCCGTCAACTCCCCTACGTGTATCAAGAGCTGCCCTGGTCCGTACGGAACTTTTTATTGTGACTTTTTTAAACTGTTATCTTATTATAACCAGCTTTTAATTAATTGTAGTTCTGTGCGCTGTGTCGCACGTCGAAGCTCAGAAGCACGAGCCTGAGCTTTTTCTCGTAAATTTTTTTTGTCTCTCCTGCAGCTTCAGCATGTTGTTATTTTATTAACATTCGGTGTATTTGTCTTTTGTCTGTACCTGTTGTAGTGTTCTTTCAGAACATAGTATGTTATATAGCTGTTCTTTTCAGCGTGTGTTAGTGTTTTTCCTGCATTATTTTTGTAATCTCCTGCCTATTGCCCTTGTTTTAATTAAATGCCTGTTCGTTTTGTATGAAATATCTGTGTCTGGTCTACGAGTGCATCGGTCAGGCTCATACATCATCACACGTGCAACCCTGCACGGGTCGACCGACCTGCTAATTAATAAATTCGAGATGTGCCACCTCGAGGCCTTTCAGGCGTCGCAGGCCGGAGCGTAAAGTGGAAGTCTGCGAGTCTGCCGCACGACGATGTTAGATCAGCGGGGCCTCACCCGAAGTGTGTGACAGTGAGATACAACTTCTTAACAAGAAAATATAACAAAGAAGAAAAAAAAAACAAGAAGTAGAAGAAACAATACGCAAGCGAAATCACAAGTTCATAATTTTATGAGCTGGACACACAAAATGAGCACAGGATGTAAACCAACCTGCCACCATATGGCAAATATAATGCATGCAACATACGTTGTGTTCTTTTGTAGGCATGAACACAAAGGCATAAGGAAAAAAACAGCACTGTGTACTCGTCAGTGATAGAGCAAATATTTAAATGTTATTATTATATGTTCCTACCAGTCACAATGGGAGTATTTAGAGAAGTGCTATTTCATAAAGATACTCAAAATAGGACTCTAACCTTTACTCTTTCAGATGACACATAAGGATACTGAAAATAGGATTCGCACCTTTACTCTTTCAGGACTCTAACCTTTACTATTTCAGTCTGATATACAAGTCATGGCTAAATTTACTGGATCACAATGGTTTTTGTTTTAAAAGGGCCATGCAACACTTTCGGAGTATGGTCAAAAAACGCTGCTGATCGGCAGTCGAGGCTCCCGAAAACACACGAGCCAAATATTATAGCGCAGCGCATGGCCTAGGATTCACAATAGATTTTAAAAGCTAGCTGAAAATTGCTTTTTCTTTTCTTGGCAAATGACGGAACAAGCTCCAAAATCACCAGTCACAGCCATTGTATCAGTCACTGGCTGATTTGAGCATGGCACACTCGGCCGTTACTCAGGCCACACCAGAAGGACGGGAATTGTCTACACGAACGCATGCAATCACACTGAAAAGCCACGTACTTGAAGAAAAAAAAAGAGAAAAAGTGTTCAAGGTCACGAGGCGCACGTGACACATTTTTTTCCCCTATGCCATCTCTTCCTAGTTAGCTTCCAGTGCTTTCGTCGCGACGAGAGAAGAGAGTGCAATCGCAGCGCGTGACATATCTTTTGGCGACATTGACGTTACGTGTTGCACCCGCAGAGGACAATGAACTTCATTTTTATAGATTAAAAACTAGGAAGGACCTAACAATGTTTGGTGTGGAAATTCCAAGGTGTTGTTGCCATCCGCATTTCTTTTTTGCATATTTTCTTGCTTATCAAGAGTTTTGTTATGGCAAACACAGTGAGTTTCAAATTGTGAAAGAGTAACTTACTCATAGAAGAAAAATTGTTTTGCTCTTCAGCATCCCTTTAAAATATGCACTACAACTCTCCTGCAATAGCATCTTTTATAACAGTACTCATTTGCACCAATCTTGGCTCCTTAAGGGAACAGACACATGTGGAGTTGAGGGTCTGGAGGTATAGTGGACACTAAGAAATACAGAGGACCAGGCAGAAAGTGAAAACAAGACTCTGAACGAAGGCACGCAGGATTGAAAAAAAAATCGTTTTTTTTTTCTTTTTGCACAATTCGAAATCTGCAGCCTTTTTTGAACCAGAATCAGTCATTTGTTTGTTCTAGCGTGACATCATTCTGTCTAAATCTCACATAATTTGTGACCTATGAGGCGGCCTGCTTTATCCCCTTCACCTGAGTGCACACCTGGGCAGCTAAAAATGCACCAAAATGAAGAGCACTAATTTTTTGACATGTTTAGTGGGAATGACATTTGGTCTGGCAACAAGCGCTTCATCTGTCGAGTCAATGTGCCAATGTTTAGCCGCAGGTAGAAGTACTTTGCAGGTTTTTTTTTTTTTTCGCACGTGTTGTTTGCATGCGTTGTTTGCAGAGTTCCAAAAGTATTATGGTTTCACCATTAGAAGAAATATAGGCTGCTCAGAGGACATGCCAAAAGGTGTCTGAGCCACATATTTCCACATGGGATCAACAGATACCAATCCATCCTACAGCCTTTGCCCAAAGGACGGTGATACCTGGTGCAAATTCAACAAAGCCCAGTTCAGTGGTGAACCATCCGTTCACAAAGAACACTTTCCGACATCTGTTTTCGAGGCTGTTAAGTCATTTTATGAGCAACTTGCTAATTCCGAATGACTACAGAAATGCCTCCATGGGAAAACTCAAAACCCCAACGAGTCGTTCAACAATATCGTGTGGGAGCGCACTCTAAAAAACGTGTTTTTCGGACACCTAACGCTAAACATATGCAGTCTTGACGCTGTAATCACCTTTAATGATGGCAATAAAGCTTGTATGAATGTGCTGAACTCGTTTTGAATTTGCACTTGCACTTGACCTGCGTCAACAGTACTTCTATGTCAGGGCTGCGAAGCAGGCGACAAAGGAGGCCCGCCAGACCAGATGCCTCAACTCAAAAAGAAAAAGTTACATTCGTGAAAAGTATATGGCTGATGCTTATTAAAAAGGTCCTTCAGTTGGCACTTATTTGGTGTTATTTTTGAAATAAAACATATTCTCCATGCGATTATCTCATAACATGCTTTTTTAATACTTTTGTACCTTTTTTTCAGCAGCCACTGTATCTAGAAACATAGATTTTAGGCAGTATTTAGAAAACGTGCTATATAATATACTGAAGCAGAATTATTCCTGCGTGAGAAAGTAATTTTTTTTCAGCACGACATCTAATACCAATGAACGGGTGATAATTAAGTATCTCAAGTAAAACAATTACAAAAAGATTAGCATCACAAGTTTCAGGGATATTTCTGCTTCAGTATGAAGAGGAATGGCTTATGATCACAATGATAGTAAAATAATTACTTTAACTTTTATGGTTATGGAGAAAAAGGTACATAAAGTTGGCCTAAAATACATGGCCGATATAGGGCTTACCCTGTTCTCTTAAAGGTAACCTAATTCCCTCCAAGTTAAAAAAAAATGAGAAAGAAGTTTCTTTCTCATTTTCACAGCCCTTCCTATACAGGCTTTATCTCTTCTTGCCGCTCATTTTTTTCAAGAGATGTGGGCAATGTAAGTACCAAGTATTCAGTCCATCAGTATTTCCCACTTTTTGGTTATGCCCTGTTATCTATTTTTGTGCAGTGTAAAGCACACTGAACAAAGTGAAATCACTTTATTGCCCAAAATAGTCAAGTGCAAGTAAGGCAAAATGGGCATGTGACTGCATGGCAAAGCATGGCAAAATACAATTCCCAATTGATATCCCTCATGTACGAGTCAACCAAGAGCTTGTACCCTAATGACGTCCAGTGAGTCAACCTACTGGCATCACAAAGCGTGCAAAAAAAAAGGGGGGGGAAATGCCAGGAGATAACAATGTGCTCATTATTTGTATTTTTAGAGGTTGTTTATGGGAAATTTAGGACTTGTAGAAGTGTTAACCTTTTCTATAAGTCTAAGAAAAATGTCGATGTACAGTGATGAATAATTTACGTAACAAACTCTCAAACTAAATATGATAGGAACAGTGGAGATCATCTGATGAGTATTTGAAATTCCCAACACTTGCACAGCTCTAATGTAGATGTAGCATTCCTAGAGAGTATTTTATCCATTGCCACTTCTCCATGTGTCGCATAGATCTTCAGAAAATGGGGTTTCTCAAAGCAAATTTTAGTTTTCCATGTTATGCTGTATGTAAGTTAGTGAACAACCATGTTTTTCATCAGAAATGCCTCCAATAACACATGAAACACACTATATTCAAAGCAACTTATTCCACAGCAATCAGTGCAGAAAACTTCAAGCCAATAGATTTAATACAACTGTATAAAAACCAAGTATGTAAAAACACAGTATGAAGGGTAGAAGTGCAAAAAACTAATTACATCGAAGAGAAAAAGACAAATATAATATCATATATATATTGCAAGGCTTGAAAGTCAAATATTTAAAATTTTCTTACCATGCTCAAGCTTATGATATGCTAGGCACTAGCAATGGTGCTTGAGCACAATACAATAGCAGCATATAAATTATTCAGTGCCAAACATTTAGTATGCTGAGCCTGCCATCCTTCTGCTATCAATCTGAAGACAAATATATGTCAGGAAATTAAGATTCGTTCAATGTGCTCCTGAAGAGTACACTGAAGTCACCTTAATTTTCAAACGATAAATATTTGTCGTGAATTGAGGTAGACTTTGAATGCACATTACGAAAAATGCCTTCTTGAATAATAAAAAACTGATCAACTTCCCTCATACTCAATGACTTTTTCATAAAATAGACATCCACTACTTAATATTTTTCCAGCTTCATACTAGCTTTTCAATCAGCCATTTTATACAACAGTACTAAGCATCAAAATGCAAATTCTGTCTGTAAGTTTTGATCAAGCCATCCTTCAAAAGCTTGTTGCCAACACAAGCAATTGCAAAGCATGCACAGCTGCGTACAGGAGTTAAGTACAAGTCAAAGCCATATCACACAAGCCATATAAATGACAGTGGCAACAAATTCTTGATGACACATCATTACACATGCACATCTTTCAATGATGCTACAAGTGCAAGATTGATGTTTCACTCCTCTGCTTCATTATCGAAGCATAGCATATTCAGCATGCGATCTGTGCAGTGTCCAATGAAACACAAAATGACCAAAAATAAAGTGCCCCAAGTGTGCACTTCCCTGTGCATGTCCTGTGTACTTATTTTGCCCTTTTCATGTTTTCTGAGCTCTGCACAAATCCCAAGATGAAGCAATCATGATATTACTATGCACAGCTGACAAAGGCTGTTACGTGACATTGGGAATACAACCGCCATCCTTGCAAAGGTAATTTTTTATGACTACAAACCCAACCTGTAAAGATCAAATGACTTCACAGGGGCAATTGCCATCTGCCCATAACAAAAGAAGTCAGATTCAAGCATAGCACCATATCATATACAACACAATAAGCAATGTAAACTGGCATCAGAGTTTGTCTATTTTTCTTTAGTTAGGAAACAGACAAACACCAACCAGATAATATGATGTGCCGCTCCTGCAAGAGGGGTAGTAGTTCATGTGCTCCCTCCATCATCCTTGAGGGTCCTGAGAAAAGCACAAACCAGTATGTCTTCTCTTCAGCATTATCACCTACAAGTTTTAAGCTTTTACAATAATATCGGCTTGTGGGTCAGTAGGTATTGTTCAGTCAGTTATCAAGAAAGGGAAGGAAGTTTCACGAAATGCCCATAATTCCTATGACACTGCCATTCCCAGTTGATGCCAAACGTCTGACAGACAACACTGCATCTCAATTTGATATTATCGAAACCATTAACTGCAGACTGTCATGCAATTAATGTCCGAGACCTAGTCGCTTCGCGAACGGAAAAACACTGAGGTTGTTGGCTTTATTACAGTTAATCGAGCTGCGCGTTCCGATCTTCAATGGCGCGCAACAACTAATTGATAGCTAGTAAAGTCGAATACGGCACAAAGTTGCATGCACAGTTTGAGAGACACGGTGAATTACAGAGCGACAATACAATACAAGTTGTGCGTCCAGAGCAGGCGCAACACATCAGAGCGATGTATGGGCTAGCACAAGCCACAGAACAGCTGAACTAAATTAGATACAGCAGCAGCAGCGAACGCGCATAACGGTACTCTAACGCACAAAAAAAAAACGCTTAACTACAGCACGTCCATAATTAATTACTTGGTCTTAATAATACCGCAGTTTACGCGCCAGTCTTTACGCCAAACGCCAAACCGTGTAAAACTGACAGGTTCATCCCCCCCCCCCTTTTTTTTTCCTTCATTCTAGCTCACTCTAGTCCTGTGCAACTTCAAGTATTTACTGCTGTCAGCACCGATAATTCGTGATGCGATTATAATAATGGCAACAAATGCACGAATAAAAAGAACGCCCAAAACTGATCGCACAATCCCTTCCTACAAGCCTGTTAAGAAGGCAGGCCACCTCTCTGCATTGGAAGGCAAATCAGACTAGGAAGGATCGATCTGACATGTAGTACCGTTAGGCTAGGGCAGAACTCTGCGCTTACTCTTCGCTGTGAAAGAGATCCTTACCAGGCTTGTAGCGAAAAGCTCCGTCGCTGTCGACTGGACCATCAGTAGATGACTTGGTCGCACACATCACCTGTCTATGTTAACCAAAACATCATGATGACGCGTGAAAATAGGGAGAGCTCCAATATTGCACTTCAAAATACAGCATCACTAATCGGCCATGTTTACATCCATCGCCGCTCCTGTCACCATTGGTCGATAAATCAAAGGCTCATTTTATATATCAAAAATATTTAAAAAAATAAACGTTGGTAAATGCAACTGTTAAATAATTAAACACTAAAAACACTTTGTTATGTCCCTAAACTTTGCATTCTAGAAAACGCTGTTAATATTAGGTGCGGGACTGCTCGCAGCAAGCACATAGAGACATTTTATATTACTCTATGGCAAGCATCAGAAACCGAAAAGATTGCGGCGGAACATTCGTCGCTTTCGTTATGATGGGTGTGACTGTCGTTGATTGTGCTTTGTCGGCATACCACCCTTTCTAGCCGTTTCATAGTTGCCTCTATTTTGCAATTAGAGGGTTTCGTATGATCGCTATTAATACTCAGAGTGTCAGCTAAGTGCTTTGAATGAGAAGCGTTATGAACTGGCGCCTGTGTGAATTAGGTGCGTTTCCACTGACTTTTTGTCGTTATTAATATCGCTAGGAATGTCTGTTCGATGAAGCCTGCTTGAAAATTTCAACGGCCTGGGCAGCGCAAAATGTATGCTCTCTGACTGCGTTCGTGCACGTTGCGGGTTATCTGTAATTAACTGCTAATTTTTATGGAAATGGAAGTTCAGTGTGCAAAGCCCGGAAGATGTTTCTATTCTATTCAAAAACAGACATGGCTGCTCATTTTCCCCGCTGCAACATTTAAATCGCTTCTTATGCATGCAGACAGAACGAAAGCAATCGAATTTATAAAAAAAAAAATTGAAGTACGTCACCCGAGCTTTTTGGGATGAGTGCGTACGTTTCATGCCGCAAAAACAAAACACCTGCTTGAAATTTTAATACGAGTACTGTGCGAATAAATGGCAGTTCGTTGTGTTTAAAACACGCGTCATGATCGCAATATTTTAATGTCCGACTTACACTTTCGTCGGGCTGCCGGCGCGCAAATACTGATTAAACGCAGTGTACATACGCTAGCACATACGAAAAAAATATCAGAAACACTATTTCCCCAGCTTTCCGTTTGCTTACAACACATTTCGGCATGGTGATTTGCTGCTGATTTGCTCGAAAATTGTGGACGTGTAGACGAACTCTTGGCCAGAGCATAGTTAAGCTTCTCTGCACAGCTAATGTGCACGTGCGTCGCACTTCTTCAGTTCATGAAAAGTACGTGCTTATTAAAGCTAATGTTTACGCTGTCAGAGTGGTTCTAACGACATATCTGTTATTTAAACACTCTACGACGATTTAACGTTACAAGAATGAAGCTACATGCAGAAAAACTAAGATTCGTATTTATGCATTGCGGAGAAGCTAGCCTGCGGAAGTGCAATGATTTTTGTTGTTGTTATTGTTGAGTTGTTTGTGTCTCTGCTCTTTGTTTTGTTTTAGTTTGTTACACCGTGAAAAGTTCTCTGCACGTTGTGTGCAAGCGTGCTTCATTCTAACCTAAAAAAAGTCGGTGTTTCATCGCACCTATTGCTTGAACCCGAGTTGAAATATTCTAGAACGCGTAGCGCGTCTTTTCAAGGTTGCCTAACAGTGCGAGGCAGAATCCTGTCTTCTTGCAACCTTAAATTGCACTCGTGGGTTAGAAATGAAATTATCTCTTTTTTTATAAATACAAGCTCACAGTTCTTGGTGTGCCCCGTTAATTAACTGAAATAATTCAGTATTCTCATTGAGCACTGAACAACTATTTTAGAATTATTTATTTGCGCACCTCAAAATTGTGTTGCTCTTCCCGTTTAAAAATTGTCTTTTCTTGACCTTCGTAATTGCAATGTTTTAACATTTCTCTGTTCTATGTTATAGCTGTCTTCATGTGGAGAGGTTGAGGTTATAAAACCTCGCCTACTCCGTTTCTGTAAGTTCTGCAGCCAAAAAAGAAAAAAAAAAGGTTACTTAAGATGAACAATTGGCAGCTGAAAACACATATAGCACAGAACTATGATAATGTCTGTTACAATTTGCTCGCAGAATTAGTCCACGCTGCAATAAAGCATCCACATGCACAAATTTATATTTCTGCCCACAATGTATGAAGATTTGTCTTACCATCATTTACAGCATTCACTGCATGCAGGTGTACTGCAGGACAAGCCTCTTCCATTTGTTTTAAGTTTAACTTATCTTGTATTGCTTCCATTTTACTCGTACTGTGTACTTTAATAATAAAGACAATAATATCTGTGGTTTTAGGTGGTAATACTACTAGTTCAATCAATGTAATGAGGTGGTATACAGTGTAGACCACTTATAACGTAACCGCTTATTGTGCAGAAGCGCTTACAATGCGGTCTTTTTCTACTCCCGTTTACTCTCCCATAGAACCCCAAGTATACGCATACCGCTTATTATGCAGTCCCCCAAGATGGAAGACTGGTTATAACGGTTATAATGCGGTTGCCGGAAATTGTAACAAACGCGGTAGCGAGTGCGCTTCCATAAGGAGGCGCGCTGAATGCGCCGCTGGGGAGCGAACGAGGATGTTATGGAGGAGGAGAAGACACGGAGTGAACGAACAAAGGGCGGAGGGAAGAAATAGAAAATTAAAAAATTGCCCCCGTATCTGCATGTAATCTGCAAATGTCGTCGAAAGACGATAGTCTTGCGGGCGGAGAGAGTGAACAATAGATTTATTTGATGTTCTGCGCAAGAAAATCGGTGAATGGTATTCTGGAGGGGCTGTGGAGTGCCTCGAGCGTGCAGCGGAGGCGAACGAGCGCATAAAGTCACGTCACACGTGAGACATAAGCGCCATCTGGCAGTGTTTTTAGAAAACAAAGCACGTGGCTCTGACACGGGTGTGCGCGCCCATCTCAGAGGTGATAAGGTGTAGAACGCAAGGCGACGGGTAGGTGCCACCACCGTCTCGTTTTAGTAAAGCGTCGGAAACGCTAGTCTTTCCGTGCAAGCGTTGCATGGTCAGCACACCGTTATAATCGCTATGGTCCTTAAAGTTACTTATGTATGCCTTTTCTAGTAAACGGCTCACATACTAGAATATATACGTGTTGCTATGGTGCCCCAGCCATGCGCAATAATTGCTTTTTAATTGACAATCTCCCAAGCATGAACGCTCAACCTTGAGCAACATATAGGTGGGCGCTGCGGATGGGGTCGGCCGTTTCAAGTACCCGATGCCGTTAAGAGTGGACAGACAGACAGATCGAAATTTCTGCGTCGAAGGTCCTCAAGAAAGACTATCGTCTTTCAAAAAGACAGGGTGACATTGCGCGGGCTCGCCGAGTAAGAGAGGAGGACGGTTTCCTCGGTGACCGATAAGCCTTTGCCCCATCGCCGACGCGGCTACAGTGTTAGTTATAGCGCCAGAACAGAACGACGACCAAGAGACAAGAAGGACACGAGCGCTACTCTATTTGTCGCCGTTCTGTTTCTCGCGCTATAACTATTGTCATGTTATACCAACTAGCCCAAACTTCCACACTTCTAGGCTAGAGCGTATACTACGTCGCTATAGCGTGGCTTCGGCCGCCACCGCTCAACTTGGCACGTGTGATCCCGTCCTTATCAACTGCATGCGCTTAACAGTTTCCTGTCGGGAAAGACGTCGTCGTTATCGAGCTTGCAACAAATATCGTGTTTGCTTCCTCGTCCGTAAATTGAAAACATTTTACGGTTTTATGACGCGAGCTTTCACTTTTGCTACCAGGGCGCTGTCGTACGTAAGCTAGCTTGGCGACTTGTCGTCGTTGCCGATCTCCCGGCCGTGAACGCGAACTTCGTATCACGCACGCTGTTCTTCGTTCAGTGCTAGCGCGATCTTTTTAATGCCGAATATTCCTGTTTTGGACAAACTTTCCGCGACAACATAACAAACGGCAAGCTAGGCCTAATCGGCATTGGTTACGCTTCGATCGGTAGCGGATGCGTAAATCTATGTTGCGCTTTGGTACCGAATCAACGAAACTTTTTACGGTGGCCGCACTTGACGGCAAGGGACACATATCGTTAATGAAAAAGAGGGTGGCACGTGTATAGTGCTCAAACAGTGGTTCTTGATTCGATTGCAATGTTTTAAATCGGGTGCACGTTTCAACGCGTCAAATTTGGGACGGGATTCGACATAGTTCTGTGTAATGCGCATAATCGAGGCTGTCTGGTAGTCGGCGAATTTCCGCGATGGCACTTTCATTTGTTAGACGCCCCCCCCCCTCTCCCTCTCCCCATTCGCGTTAATTTCATTGGCAACGCGTGTATTTGGACGTTGCATTATTTTAACATTCAGAAATTTAAATGTTAGCAAGCACGCATCGCATGTTCCGATTCTCGGAAACGCGAAGCTGCATGCTCAACACGTTTTGCGCAAGTGCGGCCCTTGAAAAAGGTTGGTTTGGTTATAACGCGGTACCGCTTATAGTGCGCATATTTGCGACTCCCGCGACTTAATTATAAGCGGTCTCTACTGTAATTGGTTCAACGATAGTGCACGATCGAGTGGGCAGGCACAATTCCCTCTGTCTATTTCTGTATCTCCAGTTTATAAGGATATAATGAGCCGGGCTCAGTGCTCTATAGTTCGGACTCCTCTTTCATATATCCAGCAGGTGGCTTGGTTCGCTGGCGTTGTGCGCTCACTTCCTAATCGTCAGGGGCGCATTTTAATGGGGAAACTGGAACAGTGGCCGGCATTTACACGACCGTCCACCGTGGGGAGTCTCGACACGCACGTATGCATGTGTGTAAAACTTTTGAAGGCACCTTTGAGTTCACACACTCGCCACCGCCAACTTATCGGCCCATCGCTGCAATAGAGCCAGTGAGTCGTGGCTGCAGCCGATACGTTCTCTCGAGCCATGGTTGAGAGCAGCAAGTTTTTTGTTTTTAATTTTGCAGGTTTTCTTTGAAGCTTGGGAAAAAAATGGTACACATGACTTTCTTCATCCCAAAATATGTAACAAGAGTTTCCGAAGACGCTCTCGAACTTTGCAAATCCCATATTTCTTTGCCAAAGTCGATATTTAGAAATTTAGCTAAATAATACTAATTAAAAATAAACAAAAAATGTCTATAACGCACACTTTTTTCATAATAATAATAATAGTAATTGGCAATTTTCAGATAGATGACTTCAGATATACAGCATATATGGCTGAATTATTTTTCTTGGTATCTTTACAAATATATATTTATGTAAAATGCCACACTGAAAAAAAAAATGGAAGAGAAATAACAGCTAGGGTGACATTGAAGACGATGCAAAACTTTTGCATGTGTGTAAAGATGTTATGACATCATAGGCACCTGTCGTCATCGTAACTCTACGTCAACGAGAAAATACTTTGCCGCTGTGCTGTTAAAGTAATATTTAAAAGGAAAATGAACGAAAACTAGTAATTACCTTTTATTGTTAGCACGAGTGCAGTTGTTTATGTCAAAAAGGTTTTGGACGTCACATTATATATGAAATACGCAGATTTTTAATCGGAAGATATCACTCTTAATTTGAGATAATAATCGACTCAAGGGCAGGTGGTTGTACTCAAGAACCAATATCGAAACTGGGCGCGCCAGGTGCGCAGGAGAGGTTGCCGCAGTGTTGCACCAGACCGAAAAGTTCCCGTGATAAAGAAATGACGAACTTTAAATGAAGGTGCATCGTGACAAGTCATCGTCCTTGCACCAATGAATATCGCCTTGCCTTTGAGCACAATACGTTCGGTGTTCATTGCATGGTTGCTTTCACACTGTCCGCAAGAAAACCTAAATTACCGCATTTTCTACGAGAGTAGCCACTGCAGCGCTGCTTCTTGTAGGAGCAGAGTATGTCCTTGCACCTACTTTATATAATTTGAGAAAGGACCAGATAACCATCATACAAAACGAATAAGTGGTCCCCGTGTGTGTTTCAGACCTGTTTTTCCCCCTACTATAATTTGCTGCGACATGCTTGTATTCAGATTTCGTCACAGGCAGTTCTGGTCCAACGTAACAAGTATATCGGCTGCATATCCCGTGCGCCTGCAGGGGCTTACATCTGGGCCTTAAATCGACAATTTCAATACACAATAAACTTGGCTTTGCCAGGGTTTCTAAAAAGTGGGTATGCCACTAATTTTGACACCCTTCAATTTTTCTGCATAAACAACTGCAAGTTGGCAATTAAAAGTTGAGCTTTTGGCGACTTGAAGATTTAAGCGTTACCTCTGCTGCAGCAGGTATCTCCGCATCTACGGAGAAAACGTGCACGAATATAGCTTCCTCCCTGTCAAAGCATCTTTACGGAAAAAAAAAATTTGCATTATGTAAATGAATGAATAAAAATAAAAACCTGTACATAATAATACAGGACTTTCTTTGAAGTGGGATAGTGGAAAAAGAAGTGAATGTGTTCTGTGCCAGGCCTGACTTATGCAACCATCCATCATTCCGCCTGTACAATAAACATCTCTCACCCGTAAGGATATGTTGTGTCTTGGGAAACTTTAGAAAAGCTAGTTCAAAAATAAGAGCGACGCGGTGCGTAGGCAAGACCAACGGCCATAGGCGACTCACGAGTCGACTCACTCAGACTTAGATCGAGCCGCGAGTTTGAGTCTGAGTGAGTAATATTTTTTAAAGCCCGAGTACGAGTGAGTCCGGTTTAAGAAAATTTTCGTGAGAGTGAGTCCAAGTTAGTTCGGCTCAGGAAAACTTTGGCGAGTCTGAGTCAGAGGGAGTCCAAAATGCTAAATTTTTTGAGTGAGTCTGACGAGTTTCAGTTTTTTGTTGCTGACCTAAGGCCCAATCATCTTCAGCATTACTATCAGCCTTACCTGGATTCTCGTTTATACTCACTCCTGCTCACGGGTATTCCAAACAATATCGTTTATACACCGTTTAAATATTATTGATTGATTGATACGAGGGGTTTAACATCCCAAAAACACCATATGATTATGACAGATGCCGTAGTGGAGGGCTCTGGAAATTTCAACCAGCTGCGGTTTTTTAACGTGCACCTAAATCCAAGCACACGGGCCTCAAGCATTTTTGCCTTCATTGAAAATGCAGCCGCCACAGCCGGGATTCGGCAGGGCCAATATTTATTATTTGAGGGGTTAATAATGTAGAGGGGGCAGGGTGGCCTACCCCCACCAACTCTTCCAATGCATCTCTTTATTATTATATCTTATGCTGTCATCTCTTTTAAAAAAAATTGCCTTACCAGTTTGAAAGCACTCAGAACTCGTTTTCGAAAATACTATGTCAAGCGGCACCAAGAAAAGCACCGTTTACATGAGATATAGGTGTTAAACAGTATTGACACCAAGGTCGAAGAAGCTAATTCTAGGTTGACAGACTCATGAGTCAACTCACACGGACCCATTTAGACTTGGAACAAGCCGAGAGTCTGAGTGAGTTCGTATGAGTTATGTTTTGGCGAGTTTGAGTCCGGCTGAAGAAAACTTTCGTGAGTGTGAGTCCGAGTGAGGCCAGCTCAAAAAAAATTTTGTGAGCCAGAGTCTAAGTTAGCTCCACAAGTTTTGCCGACCTATGCCAATGGCACATGTAAGTGGTTGCTATGTGCAACTTTTTGGCTGTGAGCCCTTAGCTTATTAGTGAAAACTGCTTACATAATTACTTGCCATATTGTACAAATTTTAGTGTAAGTTTCTGCATTGTATTAAAAAACATCAGACTAAAATGTTTCAGGCTGAATACACCATTCCCAATTAATTTTCCATTGCTTCAAACTTATGACACAAAAAAAAGGGCAGTGAGCATGACAGCAGCACTCTAGGAAAGGTCTTCAAAGTAGTGAGCACATTAAACGTGGGTGAAAACTGGTACTTTTGAGCATGCGTGTACCTACGTACTGAAGTGCCCCTATGTTCACACACATTTAATGCGCTTATAAATCATCAATTGTACTAAATCAATGCTAGTTTTTAAACCATCAATTGTACTAAATAAATGCTAGTATCTCCCAACCTGATTTTCAATTAATTGATTGATATGTGGGGTTTAACGTCCCAAAACCACCATATGATTATGAGAGACGTCGTAGTGGAGGGCTCCGGAAATTTCGACCACCTGGGGTTCTTTAACGTGCACCACAAATATTAGCACACGGGTCTACAACATTTCTGCCTTCATCGGAAATGCAGCCGCCGCAGCCGGGATTCGATCCCGCGACCTGCGGGTCAGCAGCCATCGGAAATGCAGCTGCCGCACCGGAAATGCACCCTAGCCACTAGACCACCACGGCAGGGCTGATTTTGCATTAGTGGTTTATCAAATACTAATGCTACATCTCATAGGAACTAAAATTTAAAAATGTTTATTGGGCGAGCTCCTTAGTCCAGGGCTGCACTGGCCTTGGCAGGCTAAGTTCTCTTCAATACAAAACATCATTGCAGCTGCATTTCACTGTCTCCTCTCACTTGGGCACATCTTTTAGATTTCTGGCAGCTTGTTGAGGCTGCTACAATACATAAAACTGATGAAAGAAAATGTTGTATCTCCTTGCATACATGTTGCCTAACTTGTTAAAACGAGCAGTAAAGGAAAGTTGTCCCCATCAACAACTCCCCTTACTGTAGTGGAAAAAGACTGCCAATTCACACTTGGTGAACCCAGCTTTTGAAAATGGCTGTTTGTTCTTTATATTTCTGTCTCGTATACATTCTCCACACTAATCTTCTCACACCTTTTAGGACCTGTCGATACCATACACTATCGAGAAATAAAATGGGCCGATCAACTCATGAACTGTGCCAGCTTTCCTGGGACAAGCTCACACGATCTCAACAGCTTCCCTTCAGCCTTGTCAGCTGGTCCACAACGAAAGTAGTTACCAGTCAAATCATCAGTGATTATTTTTCAATCATGCAGGTGTTCTCAAAAGTAGAACACTGCTGTTGAACAATGGCATGCATACAAATGTGCTGAAGCAATGATGCCTTTACCAAACAGGTCCTCTGTATAACAAGCATAATTTATTTCACATGACTTGGAAATCCTAGGCACACTACATACTCTTCACTCTTTTCCAACACACACTGCAGTTGTGATGAAACACTCATGTGAAACAATACAAAACAATGGTCTCAAAAATGTGATGAACACGAGTTGTGCGACTTAGCGAAAATTCATTGTACAACAAGAGCACAACGCCCTTTCTGCACAGAGCTGTCACAGGAACTCTTCACCTGGCATCACAAGGAGTTCCAGCTGCTGTATTTCTGTTGCAAATGGCACAAAAACATGCCATGAATGACGCGATAAATACCCTAAATTGCATAAAACTTTGCCAGAAAAAAAGTAAAAAATATGGAAGAGGGGCAATAAATCTTCCTATTCAACATATCTCTCGTATAAATACAACCAGTTGACACTGAGAGATTAAATCATGCATGGGCCTGACAAAGGAAAATCCAAGCAAATAACTTAAAATGACTGACTCAGCTTACACAATTCTAATGACACTACCTCGTATCAGAATGCCAAAAGTACTGTTCACCCGTGTATTTTTTTTTTTGTAATGTTCAGGGTTAGAAACTTACATCAGCTTGAGTATGCAAAAGAGAACAGCACTGACTTGGCAGGAATTTTAACTGGCAGGTCAAAGGTTTGCTTTTATTTATTTTAACTCTCCCCTCTAGATGCAAACACTCAAACCATAAAAAAGAAAAATGCTCACATACAAATAATGTGGCCAAAGTTTCAAACAGTCTATACACTTGCACACTGCATGTTAAAACCATGCTTGGCTTGCCACCACTTAGTTCCCTCCACAGAAGGGATAAAAATGGGTGTGAAAAAAAAAAAAGTCTGTACAACTATAGCAGTCTGCTGGCACACACTAGTATCCCCGCAGTCCATTATAAATTTTTGTCTTGCTTTCCTCTTTAAGTATTTTCCTGATGGCTGAAAAGAAAGCAAAAGAAAAAAATATTAGGACAGACAATGTAATCATGTAAAATATGAGACAGCACCAGTCGCATGTTCAGAGGCTATACAAAATTTACACTGATGAAAATGAGTGGACAGTATCTGCAGTTTATATTGATTTATATGATTGATTAATATGAGGGGTTTAACGTCCCAAAACCACCATATAATTATGAGAGACGCCGTAGTGGAGGGCTCCGGAAATTTCGACCACCTGAGGTTTTTCAACGTGCACCCAAATCTGACTACATGGGCCTACAGCATTTGTCTCCATCAAAAATGCAGCCACCACAGCCGGGATTCTATCCCGCGAACTACGGGTCAGCAGCTGAGTACCTTAGCGAAGTAGACCTTATGACTGCTTATAAAATTAGGATTTAAGACGTTAGAATGCAACTACAAAATGTAGTTAATAAATAATAGAGCATTATAACGAAAATCTCAAATTACATCTAGTTATATCATCTAGCATGAACCAGTGTTTCTTCAGACCCAATGCCCAATTAGGCTTGAACACATGAAAATTCGCAGTAATGTTTTGTGTGCTTGCTTCCAAAGGCACTATTTTCACTTGCTCTGCTATAAACAATAAAAAATCAATCTAATAAACCAGCTTATTATAAGTAACAACTACTGTGTCTTGGCTTCTTTAACCCTTTCCCTATCGTGACAAAAAATATTGTTCTAAATTTGCCAGAAATTTCTTGAGCTTTATTTGTTTCTGAAAAAAATGGCACCATTATTTCAAATCCATTGAGTTCGTTTATATTTATTTAATTACACAAAACAGATAGCTTGAACATTGCTTCACCACATAGCAATAAAAAAAAAAGATGACAGTACAATGAAAGCTGAGACACACATGGCACAACACAAACAAGTCTGGACATCTAGCACCAAGAAACACAACTATGATAAGTATAGTCGTCATTGGTTCCACGTAGGACCAGTTTTATTGATGAATAGTTGGCATCAATCATTTTGTTATAAAATCTCATGACTATACGCATCTACAGGAGGGAAAAGGTTAAGTGCACTGATGTCACATATCATCTGTAGTCACATGGGCTATCTCATATATTTAGATCAAGGCTGAATTGGGCGAACACACAATTTGAAATTAGTACAGGATACCCACGAACCAGTCTACATTCAAGTTCAGTTTCTCTTTTGAAATAAAGATTGTATTTGCAAATTTCAACAATGTTCATGCAACAACATGTTCTCAAGTTCATGAGACGGACTCGATCGCCAATGTGAGTTCCTTCTCTGGTAATGTATCACACTTTTCAAAAAATGGATGCATGTATAAGTTCACAAAAGATATTACGGGCTGAAAATGTTTTCAAACTAAGCATGAATTCAGCTAAAGAATTTGCTAAAAAGCAAGTCCTGTGTCCCGCACACTTTTATTGCAAGATGAACAAGATGCCATGTGTACAGGCCCGTTTGTGAAACAACGATATTTCAACCATGCCTGAACAAGTCCTCTTCTCCATGCTTTGCATCATGGCATGGAGTACACCATTAAACAAGCCCATTTTAGAATAAAAAGGTAACAACTGGAAAACATACCTTCCTTGTCTTCCGTGCTAAGATCACCCTTAGGGAAATCCACATCAAAAGTCACATACAATGTTCCTTTCTGGTTGTTGTTTTCATAATTCGGCATGCCTTCATTTTTCTTGCGTAGCCTTGCACCAGGCCAAGTAATTTTCTCACGTGTAATGGGTACCTGTGAAGAAAAAATACTCATTATAGACAGCAATAAATATCCCAAGAGAACGGCTTCAAAAAAATATAAATCAGACTTTTGGCACAATCTTATACCTATGCAGAAAAAATGTATATAGTCAAGTTTATCTATAACCATAAGCTAGCCAAGTTGAAACCAATTACAGCCTACTTCTCCGACCTTACAGTAACACTGTTGTTCTTTATGAAAAGGAACCCGCGACTGTGTGACCTGCTCTCTACAACGGCTGCCTACAGTATCTTGCAGCGCTTTTCCAGTGGCCATAACTCATTGTTTTGTTTGCCAATAGATACCAAAAGCCGAGGTCTTTTCTATTGCTGTCAGTTGATGCAGTCCTGCAGGCAGCCGCCAAAAAAGCACAGGCCATGCACTCACGTGTTCGCTTTCATAAAGGACAACAGTGTACATGCGCATGTGGAAACCTGAGCAACATGGTTTATGTAGTCAAACTACATGCTCAGACTGAGCTGTTGGTTCAGATGCCTCAAACTGGAGCCACAAAGACAGGTACACATTTTATTAGAATAAGATACTACAACATGCAACAAGTGAGTTCCAAGAATGGCTGTAGTGTCACTCTAATATAGCGATACGTACTATGATACTACACCTGCCCATAATGGTGTCTAGGTATGCATGAATATACGTGCAGATGAAATGCAGACTTATTGTGCCATATGTGACAAAGCAGAAAAAAGCAAATGTGCCCATTCATACTTTAGCATTAGCAGAATCTTGAGATAGTGACAAATTATTTACAGAGACGGGTAAGAGCCTTACTGATGCTTTAGAGAATAACAATAGCTTAAAGGGCCCTATCAACCACCTCCAATAATTTTTCATCATTCCAAGTAATTGTGTGCATCCTGTTGAGAATGCCATCACGATCATTGATTCCGAACAAGGCAGCGCTACAAGCTGTTGATGCCCCACAAATTCGAAAGAACAATACCTTCTCCCTTCCGGTCTTTTCAGCAGTGTTCATCCCTACACGTGTTGGCCGTGATGTTAACACATCATCGACTGGTCCTCTACAAACCTGTTTGCCCATTCACAGTTACGTGCGCTTACCACCCTTGAGTGAGGGCCGTTTTTGAATCACCAAAGGCATGTAACTCCACTATTATGGCACTGTTTCAAAAAATTCTCATGGCTGCATGTTTGTTGTAGACTCACGCAAAACTGCAACACCCCTACTAGATTTCGACCTTTGGGTGGTTTAGGGGCCCTTTAAGTGGACAGGGTAAATAAAAATATTGAAAAAAAAAACTTTTTTCTTTTTGCATTATTTGAAATCTGCAGACTTTTCTGCACCAGAATCAGACGTTTGTTTGTCTTCGTACGTTCTTTTTTTTTTCTCTAAAAAAAGACATTTTAAAACTTGTACGGCGGCCTGCCATGCCCCCATTCTTACGTAGCACGAAATTCCTTGCAGCTCAAGCATCATAGCCATATGAAAAAGTTACAGTTTGCAAGCTGGAGTGTACCGTATTTACTAGCGCAATGAATGCACCCCCAACTTCAGTCATGAAAATTAGAATTTTTGTTTTCCCCCCGCGTAATAAACGCACCCCCTACATTCATCCACTGCAGTCCCGCAAACCAACACCTGGCGCTTTCACACCTGTTGGATCTCTTCCGTTTTTGATTACTTTTCCAACCCCCCTAAACCCGAAGGACACGAGCGCTAAGAGAAACACGAAATAGAGCCTGAATAACTAGAAATGTAACTTAGAAGTGTGGCAGCTTGGGCTAGTTGTCTCTGTGTCGTTCTGTTCTCGCGCTATAACTATCGTCATGTCATACCAACTAGCCCAAGCTGCCACAGCCCCCTCAACCACCTCGGCTCGCTCGCCCCCCCCCCCCCCCCCTTTCACCCGTTGCCGCGTACCCTATTGCTTTTCTTTCTATCTGTGCGCGACACGTCCCCCCGTCTTGTGCACCACAGCACCACAGTGGGGTTCACGAGCAGTGCGAGTGGAGTGTAGAGACATCGCAGCTGATAAGCACACAGCGAGCGAAGGTCGCACCAATCAACGTTGGTCGCCTCCTGCGAACCCCCCTCCCGCATTCTTTTAAAGACGATAGTCTTTCTTGGTCTGTCTGTACATTTGTCTGTTTGTCCACTCTTAACAGCATCGGGTACAACGGCCGATCCCATCCGCAGCGCCCATCAATGTTGCTCAAGATTCAGCGTTCATATTTGTGCATTCGTCGATTAAAAGCAATTATTGCGCATGTCTGGGGCATCATGACAACACGTATATATTCTGCATGTGCATCTTTTACTAGAAAAGGCATACATAAGTAATTTTAAGGATCATAGCGCTTATCACGCTGTGCTGACCATGCAACGCTTGCACGAACAGGAGAGTGTTTCCAACGCTTTGCTAAAACTAGACGGTGGTGGCACCTACCCGTCGCCTTGCGTTCTACACCTCTGAGACGGGCAGGCACACTCGTCTCAGAGCCACGCACTTTGTTTTTGAAGAAAACTGCCAGATGGCACTCACGTCTCACGTGTAATGTGATTTGGTGCGCTCATTCGCCTCCGCTGCATGCTTGAGGCACTCAAGTGCAGCGTCTCCAGAATACTATTCACTGATTTTTTTTGCGCAGAACATCAAATAAATGTTTTGTTCCCTCTCTCCACACGCAAGACGACATTTACAGATTACCGCGCAGATACGGGGCCAATTTTTTTAGCCTAGTTTCTTTCTTTTTTTTCACTCTAACTGTCCTTTCATTCCTGTGAGTGCACACTTTTGGGCGCCCCTCGAGATCACAAGAAGATACCACTGTTGTGGTTAAACAATGGCGAGAAAAGGTAGTGGCAAAACGTTTTTATGGCGTGCGCGGGCGGCCCAGGGACAGCTTGCAGAAGATAGCCCCATCGACCACTGAAGATGGGTAAAGTGTAACAAAGAAGCTGTTTCCAAACTCTACGCGTATGTAAATTGCAAAAGGCTAAGCGACCTAACTTTTTTTTTTGCATTACCACGTTTTTCCTTCTCTTAAGAATTTTCATGTAATTTACCCCGTGTAATAAATGTACCCCCCCCCCCCCCCACTTTGCTGAGACTTTTCGAGAAAAAAAGTGCGCTCATTACGTGAGTAAATACGGTATTTGGTGCATTCAGGGAAGAATGGGCTCAGAACTGTGAAAACTAAAGAAAGCAGAGGCATCAAGCTTTCTGGCTTGTAATCTATATCTGGTCGGAGACGTCTTAGTGTTGTCATCATTGGCAAGCACCAAAGCTATTAGCGTTGGGTCATTAAAAGAAGTAGAGCCAGCTTAGAGGACATGCAAAAAGCTGTCTGATTCCATGTGAAAATATGTGGACCAAAGGACACCAATCAATCCCACGGGCGCCTAAGAAGGACGCCGAAACTTGGTGTAAATTCAACAAAACCTATTTTAATGGTGAACCACTCATTCATAAAGCCTACATTCTAGCATCTGTTATTGAGGCTGTTGGCCAAAATATCTCGACCTAGCTCATCCAGAATTATATGCTAAATGCCTTCATGGGAAAACTCTAAACCATAACGAGTTGTTGGATTGTCGTGTGGGAGCACGCTCCAAAAACGTTTTCTTTGGGCACCAAACAGTGTGAACATGCACTCTTGATGCTCTTTTCACTTTTCATGATAGCCTGTGTGAATATGCTGAGCTATTTTTGAATTTTGCCAGGGCACTGCACAATGCAGGACCTACGCACACTTACTGGGTCAACAGTACTGTGCTAACACGGCTGCATAGCAGGCGACAAATGAGGCTCGCCAGGCAATGCGTTTAAACACAAAAAGAAAAAAAAATTATATTGGTGATAAGCAAATGGTTGGTGCCTATTGAACGAGCCCGTCAATTTGCTGTTATCTTGTTGTACTTCTGAAATAATGCAGATTTCAACTCTAAATGCGATTATCTCACAACATGATTTTTTTTATCCTTATGTTCCTTTTTCTCAGCAACCACAGTATCTAGAATCATAGACTTTACCCAATATTTAGATAACGTATTAGGGAATATGCTGAAGCAGAATCATTGTGTGAGAAAAAGCTATTCTGCAATACGACATCTAATAGCTATTATTGAGTGGTAATTAGGTACCTGAAGTAAAACATTTACGTAAAATGAGCATCAAAATTTTCAACGTTAAGTTTGCTTCAATAAAAAGAGGAAAAGCTCACGATCACAATGATAGTAAAATATTTACGGTAGCTCTTATGGTTATAGAGAAAAAGATACATGGACTTCGCCTAAAATACATGACTATAGGAGCTTACCCTGTTCCCTTAAAGTTGACTGAGACTTTCTTTGACCAAAGAATTCAATTTCGGGATTTTACAATCACCAGATAGGGAATTTCTTTATTTTTCAGAACATATATCAAACTTGGGCCCTCATGGTTTCAAAAATACCTTTTGGTCCTTTTTTTTTTTTTTTCAACACATTAACATGAAACGCACATGTAACCTACGTAGTTTCTGCATTTCTCTAAAGAAAAAAAAAAACTATCGACATTTTTGGAGTTGGTGTACCTTTGATTCGGAAGCTATTGGGCATAAACAAAGAATTCTAGGGTGTGTTAATTAGTGGCATCTACACCACTGGCACTAGAATCAAGAAAAGATGTGCAAATTTGTGAGCTCGTTTTTCCTTTGACACGAAAGTGTTTTATGCCGGAGTTCACCACAGCTCCGCTGACGTACTTCCGTCATGGATGTGACGTAAAATATATACCGTAATTACTCGAATCTAACGCGCACCTTTTTTCCGGTTAAGCGAGTTCATAAATCGCATGCGCGTTAAATTTGAGTGCGAAAAAAAAAAAGAATACAATCATTCTATTGCCATCGGCATTTCCAAAATGGCCGCCCCCTATGTGCTTCGGCATGGCGCGTCGGCCATTTCTGCCTATGTGTTTCCCATGTGCGGCACTTCGTACGTGTGCTGAGGAGTTCGTCATCTTGTTGTTCATTAGCATCGACGGCATGGAAGGGCCGACTCCAGAAACTGTTGGTATTGGAGTGGACAATGCAAACGTCATGACGGGTGTAAACAGTGGCGTCTACACTCGACTAAGGAAAGAAATTCCTCATCTTGTTATGGTGCGATGCGTCTGCCATTCTCTTCAGCTTGCAGTTTCGCATGCGTCGGTTACCTTGCCGCGAAACATAGAATTTCTAGTGCGAGAGACATATCGATGGTTTGCTCACTTCTCGACAAGGAAACTGGAATACCAAAGCTTATACCGCGAAATGAACGACGGAGAGACACCACTTACTATACCACAAGCCTGTGACACAAGCTGATTGTCAATACACACGGCAGTAAATAGGATACTTGCCCAATGGGCTGAACTGAAGGAAGTTTTTGAGAAAGCACAGAGGGAAAAAAATTGCTACACGGCAATGATGCTGTTTGAAATGTACAGTGACCCCAAAAACAAATGCTACCTACTGTTGCTGGACTGGGTTTTAGCAGAAGTTCAGCGTGTGAACAAGTGCTATAAAGCGGAAAAACAAGATCCGATGAAATTGTTTGAGGATCTCATGCTCCTTGTCAAATCTAGCGCCGCGAAAGTATCTCTGCCAACTTCCCGATACGACGTGTTAACTGTCAATATCAACGAGTATCTCGACCCGAATCCGTACTTCGGTCACCGGTTCGAAACAGCACTCCGAGACGCATGCTTGCCACGTGATGATGAAAATGAGCTGCGTCTTTGCGCCCGACGTTTCATTGTGGAACTTTTCAACCAGCTGCGTCAGCGGCTTTCAAAGAACATTCAGTGCTTGCAAAAAGCTTCTCTGCTCTCTGCAGAGCACGCACTGAAAGCAACACAGGAGCCAATTATGGAATTGGCGGCACAGTTTCTCTCCGTGGAAGCCGTGTCCGCTTGCGAAACGCAGTGGAGGAATTTGCGGCACGTGAAATGGTGCTGTACGGATACAACCGATGGTTTCTGGGCCGAAGTTGGTTCCTACAGGGACGCGCATGGTGACAACCCCTTTGCCGAGCTGGATACACTCGCCATGACAGTGCTTTCGTTGCCTTTCTCAAACGCTGGAGTAGAAAGATGCTTCAGCGATATGAGCATCGTGAAGAGCAAGCGTCGTAATAGGTTGGACATTTACACACTGAATGCGCTGCTAACTGTAAGGAACGGGCTTCGGAGGCATAAAAATATGCCATGAATATAGCTTGCCAAGTGATGCGGTGGCCAAAATCGGTACGATGGCATCGTACTCAACGGCAGAGGACGATACTCTGCAAGCTGCAGACATTATCGAAGAACTGTGTGTACAGCAGGACTGATTGTTTGTGTGCACTATCATTGATTATAATTGTTTTGCCCTACGCCTTCTGCTGGAATTGCTAAAAGATGGTTCTGTTTTCATTCGCCAATGTGGATTGTTCTTTTAGAAGTGCGCTGAAATCTCTTTTGTACATTATGTGCATAAAATGCTATTTTGGATTGTTTCGTTCGTTTTGTGCTCATTTGCGTTCATAATTTTGTGTTCATCTGTCTGTCCGTGCACGTGCTACTGCATATGGCAACAAAAAAAAAAAACAATATAGAAATGCTTCGTGTAAGGCTATAACACAGGCACTGAAAATTCTATACTTGATTAAAGAAGTTCTTTGTAACGAAGCAATTTTTGTTTCTTTTATTTTTTACAGTTGTATATCGAACAGAATTTCAGTTTCGATTAGGCCTTTGGTTACGCCCATTAATTTCATTTTTAACAGGTTTACAGAGCATTGATGCATTCGGAGCTCGTCGTTTCTGAGCAGGCAAGCCTTTACGCATTGCGAAAACTACGCCAGCCATAAATTATTGCAGTTTAACTATAGGAGCACATTTATTATTCGTACATACATGTTCTGCGTAGTTGCCTCCAAGACAACATAACTTTAGAGCTGCGTTTCATCTTTTCAGATAAAACAGCTGTCAATGAATGCTTTGTACACTCAGAATGTGTTAAAGAAGCGCTTTAAAAAATATTTAGCTACTTTAAGCTCCTTATTGGATTTTTTGGCTACTTCTAGCTACTTTCACGTTGCCATCTAGCTATTTTTGCTGGCCGACATTTGGCAACACTGATTGCCATCGGCAAATCCAAAATGGCCGCCCCCTACGTGCGTCGGCATGGCGCACGGAGGAAGGAAAAAGGAAATCCTTCCTCCGTGGCATGGCGCGTCGGTCATTACTGCCTATGTGTTTCCCATGTGCGGTACTTCGTACGTGTGCTGAGGAGTTCGTCATCTAGTAGTGCATTAGCATCGACAGCGTGGAAGGGCCGACTCCAAAAACTTGAGTGCACCACGATGCCGCTTTTAAAAGAAAAGTCATCGCGTGTGCAGAAACGGACGGAAATCGGGCCGCATCGCGGTCGTTTGGAGTTCCCGAAACGTGCGTGCGGGACCAGCGGAAACAAAAGCAGAAGATTGTCGACAGCAAAGCTTCACGCAAAGGCTTCAGTGGACCACAGCAGGGTCGGTTTCCGCAAATTAAAGAGCTGCTCGGCGAGTATGTGCTTGAGCAGCGAGCGGCACAGCGGCCCTTGACGACAGAACTGCTCGAAGTGCGGGCTATGCAATTAGTCTTAGAAAAAGGTCTAATGCGGAGCCAGTTTAAAGCGAGCAGGTGCTGGCTAACTAACTTTATGAAGAGGAAAGGCTTTTCCCCCCGAAGGGGAACATGCATATGCGAAAAGTTTTGCGGAGGAGTACGATGAAAAGCTTCACAGCTTTCAGAGGTTCGTCCTAAACTTGCGGCGCAACAACGGCTACCTGCTTGGGCAAATCGGGAATGCCGATCAGACGCCTCTTTACTTCGACATGCCTGGCACCACAACCGTCGAGAAGGGGGCGAAGCAAGTTCGCGTGCTGACATCGGTCCACGGTAAAACTACAGTGACGGCAATGCTCTGTTACACGTCAGATGGGCAGAAGCTTCGCCCGTACCTCATATTTAAATGGAAGACGCTCCTGAAAGGAGTCGTTTTTTCGAGTGGTGTGATCGTGCGGGCGAGCGAGAAAAATGGGTGCGCGTTGCAATCGAAGTCTTACACGTTTTTTTTTCGCGGTGGAAATTGGGTGCGCGTTACAATCGAGGGCGCGATAGAATCGAGTAAATACGGTATTCAATTTTGCGGACTTCTTTTCGGTCCCCGCCAGGTCCGAAAAATTAGTCTGCGACTGTATATATTATATGCATTTTTGAATGCGGCGAAGAACGTGAACACCGCAAAGAAACATACACTGACACGTAACGCTATGTGTCGCTGTATGTCGTCGTACGTTTTTCCCGATGTCCATGCCCTTTGCTATGCTACAACGAAGCTTAAGAAATGGTCCTCTTAACATCGCACGACTGCTATTTCTGCTATAGCAATAAAGAAAAACCAGGCAAGGCTCACATGTGAATCAAGGAAAATAAAAGAATGAAAAAAAAAATGTATTCAGTTCAATTTGTACAAGAGACTTGGCATTACAAAAAAAATTACACTATCTCCCGCTAAAGAAAACCCTATGTAAACGCGAAGCAGCGGGCGCTAACGCTTACACTGGCAGCGGAGTTGCACACGAGAGATACGTGGGGGAACATGCAGCACGCAGTGATGGACCCGTGTTTCCTACTGGAACATGCCAATCGCTGCTGTGGCGATGAGAGAGCAAATACTCCAATTGTACACAGAGATCTGCAGTCCCCTTTTAGTTAAGCGCATGCTGCGAATTTCAATTGCTCAACAACGCATGAAAGAAACCTCCCACTGGTACTACCTGTCAAGATCCAGTGCCTCCTAATACTATGCGGGGTGGACAGTGAACACTTGTGCAGCAAGAGCAGTCGGCTTTTTCAATCAAGAAACTCAGTAGCAGAAGCTGGTGGGTCAGCGTTGCAAGGCAAGAGAGGGGAGGAGAGAGGAAGGGGAAGTGCATGTTTAATGGGGGTGTAAACACCACAGGAAGGGGCGCCTAGAGGAAAGAGAGGGGCAGCGAGAGTAGGCTAGCAGGTGCTTCTTCCATCGACGTTGCGAGGCGACAGAGGAGGGAGCGTAGGAGAGGAGAGCCGGAGAAGTGGTAGGCGTATGTGCAGGCACCACCGGCAAGCTCGCTCATAAGATGATTCGCATCTAACACTTTTCTTTACCTTGTGACCATCCAGGTGGGTTATTTCAGTTTCAAATCCCACAAGAGCATCTGTCAGTGAAATAGTTATGTTTGTGTACAGGTCATCACCTCTCCTCTCAAAAACATGGTGCCTGAAACAGAGCAATGAAAGAAATATAAAAGCAGGAACTTCAAGCTGCTAGCTAATATCAAAATGTATAGCAGTATGCAGAGCAGTCAGCGGTGCTTTATGCCTCCATTGTTCTGAGAAAAGTTGCCCACAATCATACAGACAAACTAACATAAGTGAGGCAGACAGATCTTCAAATTTGAAGCAAAAATGTATAAACTTTACAACTTTATGACCACCGCAAACTGCCTCCCCACCAACCAACATATATTTTTCTCATTATTATGCATACATTACAAAGTAATCCTCATATGTTTATTGTTATGTATTCAGATGCTACGAAAAAGCCACGAACATAGCAGTACGAATACACTACGACCAATTAATAATAAGTGTGAGAAATAACGCTTTCTCAAGAGTCATTTCTCAATATTAATTCTTTTTATTTTTTTAAACCTTTAAACTTCATTTGCATCAATTCTTGAATTAGAACCATACAGATTTTAACAATGAAAAAGTTAAGCATTTGAATTTCTAAATGTTATCTACAACAACAAAAACTTTTGAATTAGGAAAGAAACAAATTGGTGCCTAAAAGAAAAGAAACTGATGCCGCTGTGCATTTGTGAGAAATAGATAACATTTTTCGGACATTGGATAAACCGTACGTGAACTGAAGAAGGGTTTCGCTTGGGAATGTGGCAATATCTTTTAATATTATGACTCATGTTAAATGAAATTCGATCTGGTTTTGTGCCAACTATATACACTCAAACCTCAATATAACGAAATACCGGTTAATAACCAAACAAATGAAAAATAGTCTTGCAATAGTTATAGTGTTAGTAATAATCCTTTATAACAAATTTTTGGACATAATCAACTTATTTTTTAACTATGATTCAACTTTGTTATAATGAGGTTTTAGTGTATGTGGCATTTTTTTTAGGAGCCGATTTTAGAAACTGATACTAGGCTCAATTTCATGGGAGCATAAAGTGCACCTAAGTACCTTTCACTTTTAATACACTTGCAATTCAAACGGGAGAATTTCTGTTCGCAACATGAACTCAAAAAGACATTTTTGAATAAAAAATTTCCCAAATCCAGCACCGGTTTGAATCAAACTGAACTAGATCTATTAAACCAATGCCATGTCAACAATAATGACCAAAACAACCAGCATGGCCATGCCTAATGTTTCATTTGTGTCCTAGTTGCTTTCCTATCATGCTTCATTCGACGTTTAGTTTTTTAGGTGATTAAATACCTACTGAAAGGCATGATGCTGTTTGTAGGGCAGAAGTCAAATATAAAGAGCAAGAGACAAACTTTCCTACTTCTTCCTGGCTCTTATATTATAAAGCCAGGAAGCATTTTATAAAGACCTTTACACAAGAAAATGCTGCTGACAGTCCAAAATGGTGCGTTTTTAGATGCGGAAGCATCTTATACTCGCGCCTTGTAGTGCGCCGTCCGCGCCGTCCGCACCGCTTCTCGAACATTCGACAGCTGACGCGCGCGCATGCGCCGTCGCGCCGTCGCCCACTCTTCCACCATCTGTGCATCCCTTCCTCCTCTACACACCGCGCGCGCTTCACTCCTCCACCATCTGTGCACCCTTCCTCCTCTACACACCGCGTTCGACATCTACAATTCTCCTGATTCTCCAGTGGACGCGCATGTGGCGTCGCGCTTCGAGAACATTCAACAGCTGACAGTGCATGCGCCGTCGCGCTGTATATATACTCAAGGTCGGCGCTCGCTCGCTCAGTTGCCGCTCGTCGGTTGGTTTGTACGGCGCGTCGACGTCCAAGGTCGCGGTGAAATGAATTCCAACGAATCCACAAACACAATGATCGACGTCCCTTCGACCAGCGCCGCCCTTTCGCATACGTGTGTACGTGTTCACTCATTTAACACCCCCTCCTACAACCACGTTAACCAATTTAGCCATCGACCCAAGTAAGTAGCAATTTAACACCCCATTTCACAACCACGTTAACCAATTTAGCCATCGACCCAAGTAAGTCGCACTTTAACACCCCGTTAACCAATTATATGGTCCGCATCCTCCTCAGTGTTCCCCCGAGGGAAGCTGCGGGCAATTTTTTTTTTTTTTTTGCTGGCAGGGCCAATTGTTTTACAACACTAGTCACTGCCACTAGGCCCACGCAAAGAAGGACGGCATTGACAGGAGCAGAAGCATGGTGTTACTTTTATCGCAAAATGTAGCTACATAAATAATTTGCTGCAATTCAGACTTCTTTTATGACTTCAGTCAAGCGCATATGAAAGGAGCCGAATTTGAGCTTTTGAGCACATACACTCGTGTAAGGACTTCGCTTCTTTCCGTGATTTCGATGGGGTGCAGCCCTTCTATGGAGCTTTGAAATTTTTGTTCAATTTTCTATCCACATATAGAAAAACCTATTTAATTATGCCATGTATATACCCAACAATGGGATATCTGGTGTCTAGTTGCAGGCATTCTTGCTAGATGTCTTCATTGGTATCACTGTTTCAGCATGGTTCATCACCGCTGCTCGGTTAAGCTATCCAATTGTCCTTTGTGCCATCCATGGCACCGGAAATCCAAGTGACCTTTAAATTCTCTGAAATAATGTTTGTGGACACTGCATGCCATGCCTTTTTCGCCATATGCAAAATGCAATGACGCTCCCGTTTGCTGAAGAGATATTTTTCTCTCAAAATTTTGGACTGCCAAGTTGGAGAGGAGCGGCCCTTACACGTGCACGGCCCTTAGTCGAGTGTATATAGTATTTCTAAAGACAAACGGCAGTGGGCTATATAAATTTTAGCTGCAATGCAGACTTAAGCTATTTCGGTGACATTAGCACGCTAATAAAGAATTGTTGGAGCAGGCCAGACCATATTGTCAGAGGCAAAAAAACTGTGCTTTCGTTAGTTTCAGTTCAAATGAACTTCTCTCTCTTAGACTCCCCCCCACACACACATTTTCTGTCTCAAGAGAAAAATTATAAACAATATATAAGCCAAAAGGTCAGACGTCTTACGGCATAGTTCGAATCTTCAACTTAAGGTCCCCAGGCTCGCCATCTATATGAGGTTCACCTGCATATAAACAAAGGGAAAGATACGTTAGGATACAACTACTGACCTCAATGACACTGTTGTTCTCAAAGAGCACAATATGAGCCAGCAAGTGGAAATCTAAACACACTGTAGCGACACTTGAATAAAACAGCAAATCGGTTACAGATGGATAAATTATTCTATGAGAGCTCTATTATTATTAACATTGCCATCATAGATTCAATAGTAAAAGAGGAGAAAGAAGGCAAAAACCTCATTCCATTTCACAACCAACTATCAGAGTACCCTCTCTCTTCTCCCTTAAAATTTGGGTGGAGGGGGGGGAGTGTTTTATCGAAAATTACTAATGAAAATACAGGTTCCTGGCTTCGGGCATCGCCTACAGGCTAATGAATTGTGGCGGCACATGCTAAATAAATAATGGAAAATAAGTCCCTCGTCCTCACACACCCTCTCCTTTTATTCTCACACACATCCTCGCTTGAAGTGAAACACACTCGATTTATATTGGACCCACTGGAATGTGGTAGGTATGTGCAAATAGTAAATTGACATTCATAGTGAATAGTGATTTGGTCAAATAATTTGAAAGTGAATAGTTCGAATATGATATATATCGCATATTAGTATTAAGCAAAATTTACATTTTTCCCATGACCCAATTAACTTGCACAATATTTTTTTTAGAATTGAAGCTAGGCAGTTGTGAATGTTATGTTTTTTGGTTTGAAGTAAAGTGAAAGAAACCCATACGCTACTATAAAATCACCTTTACATGAAGTTATGAGGTCAAATACATATATTTTTTCATTTCAAATTATTCTAAACTTCGGATAAATCATGTCTAAGCGAATTTGAATACTGTAATAGTATTCGTTCAAATATTTGAAGCGCCTGAATAATCGCTCATTCCTAGAATGTGGCCACTGTGACTGGGAACTGAATCAGCGATACTGTGCATAAGGTGCAACATCACAGCTATTAAGCTAACACAGCAGGTACACATACAGACATTGAAACAGTTTTATAAAAAACAATAAGTCACTTACCCTGATGAGAGGCTTATTTCTTGTTTTTATACGAAAGGCATACTTCGAATAGCAAATCAATCTGTTGAAATTCACGCTGATACTGGCATAGAAATGGTGGGAAACGTTTTCCCTAGTTTGAGCATAGTAAAAGTAAGACACAGACTATTTTTAGCTATGGCAGTAGCTGTACATCTTTAAATGGCTTCTCATTTGTCGAATGAGCACTCTCGTGTCTGAGACTCACTAGCCATGATCATCTACATTCACATCAGCCTGTCACTTTCTTTCTTTCACCATGTGCTGTGTTCAATTATATTACTTCTGAAATGCGCCAGTTTTTATGAGACACAAGCTGTGTTGAAAACTTCCAAGTTTCATCGCATTCATGCGGTGAGACTCAACATGGACAATGACGATTGCAGTCGCCTTGATTTCATATCACATATTATGATCGCCTATAAACGCAGGCTAACCTTCAGGTGACACTACCAGAAATTGTGCTGAGGGACACCAAAGAGACTAGTAACCATTCCGCTTCTGACGTCTTGACTATGTCATTACATCTATCCTCACTACATCAAGGTTCTGTATAACTACAGTACTACAAGTATGAACTGCGTAAGTAAATGGTGTCATTCACCTACAATGCCCATTCCGATCACGTATGTCAAAATTACAGCGTTGGAAAGTGAGGAAGACAAAGACGCTTACAGCAGGAGATAATTTCACCTATGCCTTGCTTAAGCATTTTCATTCCTTACTGACCTTCTGCCACAAAGACTTGTTCTTGGCCATCCTTCATGCCAGCCTCAATTTCCACCTCCAAAAGTTTCTCTTCATTCACCAACCTAAAAGGAATGGCAAACATCACAGCATATAGAGACATAGTGACCTCTACTTCTGGTGCTTCATAGACCACCATATCATTGACCATAAGCACCTATTATGGCAGCAAGAGAGAAGCTTTTTATACACAGAGTAGCACGCGAACGACATACTTAAACTATAACAGCTAGAGCAAATAATGTTCCACATCCAAGTTATTGACATGGCAAAGTTGCAAGTTGAAAGAAGTATAGCACTTTCGTCACGCAACATTAAAATTTGATATCGTACAGAAGAGAACAAATATAGCATGAATATTTAACTTTGAGATGCTTTCACTTATTTTGCACTTTCACAAACTGTGGGTGCAGAAAGATAAGGGTGGAACTGTTGCCCAAGAAATGACACTTTGTATAGTCTAAACATGAGACTTCTGTCTTCAGCACAATCATAGTGCGCCACATGGAAAATGAAAATCAACATGAAAAAGAGTTGTTGCATAATTGTGACATAAAAACTACACCCTTTAAACTATCACTATTCAATTGATGGGCAAGTTTGAGACTTACAAATAGTAAGAAGCCACAAGTACTTGAAAAGTACTATCACTTTGGACTTAATGTGGGAAGAGCATGTGTCATATATAGCTTGGTCCTTTTAAGCATTGTCTAAAATATTAGATCCATGAGATAAAGCTGCAAGCTTTCGACTGCCCAATTCTTGAGTATGTGTTCGTTGTATGAGATCCACATACTGATGTTACCATAAAGACAGATATAAAAAAAGAATTCAGCGTAAGGCCATAACATTTGTATTCAATTCATTTAGCTGGCACACATCACTAAGTGTGATGCTCAAAAAAGGCTGAAATACTGTAAACACCCGTGCATAGCTCGGACCCGCAGATAGCTCAAGGTCTATTTTGGGAATAGCAAATGCGGGAAAAGGTTTCTGCTCGATTATAGCGCAATGCTAAAACCAAAACTGAATTCGGGCTGACAATCCTTGGGATCCACATAAAGTACGGGGCAGAAATTTAACATAAAATTAAAAAAAAACTCAACGTGGGTTTTACAGTAATTATCCTTCAACAATCGTGATATATACAATAATAATACTTCATACAGGTCCTTTTAGAAAACTAGGCATGGACAAGAAGATGCACACTGAACCTCTTTTTCATTAGTCAACTCAGTCAAGCTATACAAAGTAGCTTAAACATGACCATTGTTTTACAATGGAAACTAAAATTTTAGCTTCCCCAATTTATCTTGGAATTGAACGTGCTTCCAGCCAAAGCGCTTGCCTGCAACACTATAGCATCATTTATCAATGTGATAAGTGACACTGTGTTAATGCAAGATGGGGGTGAGAGGGAGGGGGGTACACTGACTGCCTTTATATTATTATAGCCTACCTTCTTATGCGAATACATGCATGTCTTTTTTGAGTCACTAAGTGTTGATTGATTGATATGAGAGGTTTAACGTCCCAAAACCACCATATGATTATAAGAGACGCCGTAGTGGAGGGCTCCAGAAATTTTGACCACTTGGAGTTCTTTAACATAAGCCCAAATCTGAGCACACGGGCCTACAGCATTTTCACCTCTATCAAAAAGACAGCCACCGCAGCCAGAATTCAATCCCGCGACCGTCGAGTCAGGAGCCGAGTACCTTAGCCATTAGACCACCGCAGGCTATCACTAAGTGTTTTCTCTAGGCTTGAGCGAATAGCGATTTTGGTTGAATAATTTTGAATCGAATTCATATAGTATATATCACATGTTATAAAAAAAAATGGGCATATTTTTAATGACCTATTGAACCTGCACAACCTATATATATTTTTTAAATTGAGAAAGCCAGTGCAAATGCCATTTTTTTTTGTTCAAAAGAAGTGAAAACAATTCTTTGCAAGATTTGACATTTGGTAGAATGCAAATGACAACCTGTAAAATACGTTATGTTTAAGTATTTCCTATATTTGGAGCATATAAGCTGCTACAACAAGCTTTTAGGCGTCAAAAATGACGAATTCATGTGGGGGTGATATGTTCACTTAACCTTGAAGTGGGGCTTTGCACCAGTGCAAATTTGCAATAAAGAAATGTTTTCCAGGCCTAGCACCATTTCAATGCAGTAAAACCACCTTTACAGGAAGTTACATGCAAACTAATAAACACTTGAGAAAGCGCTTTCACGGCTTAGCACTTCTCCACAGCAGTGAAACCACCTTTACAGATATTACATGCTGACTAATATACATTTAGTCGTTCATTTCGAATACTCCAAAAGTTTCAATAATTCAAATTTGGACCGAAGCAAGTTCGAATATTCGCACAAGCCTAGTTTTCTTACAACTAATAAAACCTCATTATGTATGTGTTATAGAATGTATGCCCCGAAACAGTTTGTAATGAGACATTTACTATGGAATGATTTCGCATTGATAGTGCTACATGCTATGTTTCTTTTTTAATGAACAGCTGTTTATATTTTCTTCAATTATGAGCTTTTTTCATTTTACTTATACTTCCATTTTGTACTAGAGGTACCGTTCCCCTTGTTTGTAACCATTTTTGCAAAGTGACACGCTATGCTATTTTTTTTTTCATTGTATGTGCTTTCATTTTGTTAACGTTCAACATTCTACAGTGACCACTCTTCTAAAGGTCTCTTACCGACAATGAAGGAAACTGTGATCATGTCACACAGCTGGCAACACATGACCCGCACTTGGCACATTGACACGCATGGTTCCCTCAGAACACTGAATCGCCTACATACACTTGCTTGGAGGCATTTTGGACTTTTAAATGGACCTTTTTTTTTGTACGTGATTCCACAAATGTTACAATGTATGTCAGAGGTGGAGTGAGATGTTTTCACAAGGGATCCGACCATCATTTAGTATGTATGTTCATGTATGTGTTTGCACAAGTAGGCACATACGAAATGTAAAAATCACAGTGAAGAAATTAAACTACATGAACCAGCCATCTAACTGTGTAACTGCTTATTGTCTCCAGCATAACATGCAAGTGTGGCAGACTCATGTTCCTGTCCCCCGTTGTGGTAGTCTAGTGGCTAAGGTACTCTGCTGCTGAGCCCCGCAGCAGTAGTCTAGTGGCTAAGGTACTCGGCTGCTAACCCGCAGGTCGCGGGATCGAATCCCGGCTGCGGTGGCTGCATTTCCTATAAAGGCGAAAATGCTGTGGGCCCCTGTGCTCAGATTTGGGCGCACAATAAAGAGCCCCAGGTGGTTAAAATTTCCAGACTTCTCCTCTACGGTGTCTCCTATAATCATATGGTGGTTTTGGGACGTTAAACCCCACATATCAATATCAATCATGTTCCTGCTACATATGTTCTTCCGTTCAGAATAGTGTGCACTGGGCATGGCTAGTGACCTTGGCCTGGGAGTAGTCCACCAAAAGAGGGTGCAAATTCAATCTACACAGCCAGTTTTGCTGGTGTGACAATCATGTTACACGATCTGGCCTTGCACACTTGCTGGTGCATGAGTGTGAAAGAGCAAGATAAAGAAGCAGACAATGTCATCTTGTAGAGGCAGCGTGCCATGTACAGCCATGAAAATGCAATCCTAGCAAATATTCAATGCTCCTGGCTTCGCTGATGCATGGAATCTGCAGCTGCCTGGCAAAGCGGGAACACGAGACTATTTATGATCGTAACTGAGCATTTATCACCTAGCAGGTATGCCTGGAAGCAGCAAATTCAGAGCCAACCTCGAAAAAAACAAAAACTGTATTAGTTAAATAGTCGGCATGCCATGCCATACGAACACGAAAAAGAAAAAAAAAAAAAACATGTCCAAGGACTTTTCTTGAGTGCAAAACATGTGTCATCGCAGTGGAAAGGCACCAACTCAACATCCATTGCCTTTCTTCTCGTTCAAAGTATAACATAAACATAGAAACTCACTTGACATTGGGGCACTCATCGCAGACCGTCTGTTGCATCATTTGGAAGCGCCCGGGGCCCAGCTGTCGGGTAACCATCTCCTGGCGACAGTTGCAACGACGGGTGCCTTTGGCTGGTTTCGCTACTGGCTTGTTGCGAACAACTTCCACAAAGTTGCCCTGATACAGCTCTTCCAAAGTGACCCAAAGGTCCATGACCACATCAGCACCACGTGGGATCTCGCGCTGCTCATTCCTATGTCCATCACCAAAGAAGCCAAAATCTCCAAAGAAACTGCCAAATGAGAAAGAGACCATGATAAAGCAGAGAGCAAAGCCCAAAAATTGGCAGCCGAAACTACAGTTTCGAAAAAGCCACAATGGTGCACTCGGACAAATTATACACCGCCAAAACACTTGTGTACAGTCTGTTTATCGAATCTGATGAAAGCACAAGTATTATATTTAGAACCAATATTGGGTGCATTAATGGTCAGGAAGACTGCAATATCGAAATGAAATAAAATTACAAATACAAAATACACCATAGCTGCATATACTATTGGCAACACACACTAATAGCATAATAGTAACAGGCAAGGTCAAGCATACAAGCCAAATTTTTACTTCTTCAGAAGGCTTGTTATGATCACACTACTAAAACACAGAAAGTAAATAGGGATTCAAAGTTATGCTTGCACACTACTACTCAAAATTTGAAGTATAGGAAATAATTTCAACTATTGAAGAGATGTAGAGTGCAAAGAAATTACAGTTGCAAGTAAACCAATTACTTTGGAGTTGGGAGAAACAAGATGCATGGATGCCAAGGAACTCAACGGAATTTCTCATCTTATTACGTTCACTAAAAAGTGTGTGCAGTACCACTCCTAACATAACATTGAAGAAATTTACACCCACAGCACTTTCCAAAGGCCAATTTATTTCTGTATTAAAGCAAATTAAACTATATTGAGCAATGAAATCCCGTTGGCTAATATTTTTATTGCCTATATATCTTCTACATTCGTATGGCGTCAAAATTGTGCATGTGCCAACAAGTGAACAATGAAATGTAGCCAATGTAAAACATGAGCTACCACGTGAAAATTCCACTGGTATAATCTACCTCATAACTAGTAACGAGTGTGATTACAAGTATATTGGTATAACATGTGAAGCAGCATGAGCGTGACAAGCAGAAATGGCACGTCACCTTGAGTGCCCTTGCTGGACATGCAGAATCTACAAGCCAAAACCTTGATGTGTAAAGTGCACAATAAAAAAAAAAAAAAGCTAACATCACACATTTATCTGGGGACACTTCTGACAGTGTACACGTGCTGCTTAATCCACGTAATGAAATATAATTTTATATGCTACGCCACTTTTATGGGTTTTTAGTGTAAGCAAGACTCCTGTATGGGGAGTCGAAAGATCATGACATTTTCAGTTATTTTTTGATCAGTGAACCTCCTCGCGATTGTAAAATACTGTGATGTGTAATTTGTGTGCGTAACCATAGGAAGCCCTAATCAAACACCCTAAGCCTGTTTTGTAACCAGCAGAAAATTACATATATATTTTTTGCTGGCACAATCTTAAAAGTGCATTTACAAAAAGATAAAGAAAATGACTGAGAGCTGTCACCTTGCAAATGGGTCACTTCCACCAAATGCATCGTGCTTCAATCCTTCTTCGCCATGCCGGTCGTACGTTTTCCGCTTTTCTTCGTCTGAGAGAACTTCGTACGCTGCTCCTAGGTCTTGGAACTTCTCTTGTGCATGGGGATCTTCCTTGTTCTTGTCAGGGTGCAACTCTTTGGCAAGCTTTCTGTAGGCTTTTTTAATCTGGTTTAAATTAGCGCTACGTGGCACACCCAAAATACTGTAAAAGTCCCTCCTGAAAGGCAAGATAGATGTGTTTACGTCTATCTGAGCTCTCCAAATCAAGATACAAAAGTTCATAGAACGGCGCATATGTGTGTCGCTTTGTTTTGCACGTGTTTTCTTGGCAAACCTACAACTGGACTAATATACGCAGACTGTGCCAACACAAGTTTCCAAGCAAACAACACCAGCCTTTGCGCATAACTAACTGCCGTATAAGTCACGCGAAACGAGGCTGCTGCGATGAATTCCACACTAACCAGAGCACGACTTATGAGAAAAATACAGCCTTATCGTCTACGCTAACCAAATAACCAAAAACAACAACATCAGAGCCGGGAACTGATAAAAGCCGTCGAGTTGGCTGCAATAACGTTGACGTGGTGCAAGGCAAGCAGCGAACTGTACTGTGAAATTTGCGAGATCGCAATGCAACGCGTCGTCGCAAAGAAATTATTACGTAACCAAAAGGCACACAAGTATTACTAGAGTAGACGCAGTTGTTTTAGTGCACGCACTAATTGTTCAGAGCAAGGTATCATCTGACAGCGAATGGTCGCTGGGGGCGAGAACAAGCCGACGGTCTCATTCATTCCAAGAAATCACTGTACGAACTCACAGAGCCCAAGTCGCACACATAGTGAGTGCACTATCATATATTACGCTAAATACACGTTGAAAACTTGGTATAGAACGCTTACCCTGCTAAACCTTGAGCAATCAGAAGCAAGAGAACACAAGAACATAGCAGCCACAGCACCGGTGACGCCATTGTTGTGATATACACGTGTATCAAAGTGAATGCTGGGTAAGGAATAAATGTGACGTCACTTGGAAAAACGTTCTGCTGGTAGCATCTGATTGGCTGCGGCAAAAACGAAACCGAAAATCAAAAGACGGCGCTTTCGCTTTGGAATTTTGTGGTGAAAGGTGGTGAGGATGCAGTGACGACGACGAAAATTGATTGTATCTATAGTGTCCTAGAACGCAATTTAGTAAAGTCAGTCGGCTTTCTTGATGTAGATCACTTATTTGCAAAATGCAACAAAGAACTGATTAAATACATTGGCGGAAAGACGGCGGGGAGTTCTCGCTCTCTCTGGGTTGCTTCATGGGGGCAGTGCCTCTGCTGGTCTCAGCCCGGAATATTCTTTCTTGGCTTGGCTCCGCGTCGATTGACAATGGACTGTAGGTTGTACGTCCTGTCTGGCAGCTATTTCACACAGATTTGTTTGTTGGTAGCTTAGAATCCATGGCTCATACCCACTCTGGGTGATTGGGCAAGAGAACATATATCTACTTAAACCTGCTTCTTCTTACGTTTCAGTCTTTTAGTAAACTGCGGACCTTGGGCTAACAACAAATAAAAGTGTTAGTGGAAAATTCTCCTCATATGGACTTGTATGTGGAGAACATATGTCGATGAAAAAGTGAAGTGGCCACTTGAGGCTGTGACAAGTCTTCAACCACGCATATCGACTGGTTTTCAGAACACAAAAATGCTGCTGAGAACACATAGCAGTCCAGGCCCGTGTGCTCAGATTTGGGTGCACGTTAAAGAACCCCAGGTGGTCAAAATTTCCGGAGCCCTCCACTACGGCGTCTCTCATAATCATATCGTGGTTTTGGGACGTTAAACCCCACAAATCAACACATAGCAGTCCCGGCGCAGTCATGATCAGTCAGTGATTGCTTTCGCACAGACTTTCTCCCCTTAAAAAAGGGGGGAGGGGATTTCTTGGTTGTCTACAGATGGGTACCGTTTGAGATGAATTCTCCAAAAAGTGCCGAGAAAAGACGGCATGAATTTTTTTATATATCAGCAAACGCTTTTACTACTAGTTATTGGAAAGTATCTAAAACGCGTCCAAAAAACACGCACCTTAATTTGGGGGGAAAATTTGTAACCATAGCTTCTCGCAAGGTGCAGTGCTAGCAAATGGTATTTGTTACTGTATGTCATTTATTTTGGCCCATAATAAATAAAATTCACTGGCATAAATAAAGCTTCTAGTGCCAGCATTAGCCTACGCATTCCTGTCTGGTGCGTATTTAAACAAGGTATAAACATGTCAAGAATTTGGCAGATCCCACGCATGGTGAGAATCGATTTTATATGCTATGCAGCCAGCCAGTAGCTGCCTGCGCGGCCTTTGCCGCATTGAACCAAGCGCGTTACGAGGCGGATCAATGTTTTTGTGTAAATTGAGAAATACCACTCCATAATAATATTGCTTTGTCGGCGCCTAAGATACTTGAGTTATATGAAAGAGCTTAATTTGGAAGTCAGACTCTCCCTCTCTCTCAATGTATGGTCGTACACACACACATATAGTAATGAGATCTAACAGACAGTAATGCCAAGGAATGTACTGTCTGTTAGATCATTACTGTCTGTTACATCTCATTAATATTGTGTTAAAACACGGAAAAACGAGCCCTTAGGTATACACTTCTTTCCCTTATTTCATTAAACGAGGGTCTCGTACTGGCAGACTTGGTGTCATTAGGTTGTATACGAGGGACTATTAATCAGCTGCCCGCTCATAATAAGTTCACGTGCTACGTGACGCCAAACATGCGCATAAAAGAGTGTTTCCACACTCGTCGCTTGGCTTATAGATGGCGCTGACTGTCACTCCTACTTCTAAATTCAACTATAAACCCAAAAAAGTGGGTGAAGGGAAGGCCGTTGTGGTAGCTCAGTGGTTAGAGCATCGAGCGCGTTATTCGAAGGTCGTAGGTTCGATTCCTGCTCACGGTTGGTTATTTTTTCATCCACTTTTCTTATTTACGTTCCATTGGTTCTAATAACTTCCCCTGTACATTCCTTGGCATTACTGTCTGTTAGATCTCATTATTATTGTGTTAAAACAGGAAAAAACAAGCCCTTAGGTATACACTTCTTTCCCTTAATTTATATATATATATATATATATATATATATATATATATATATATATATATATATATATATATATGTATATAAATTATATATATTATATATATATATATATATATTATATTATATATATTATATATTATATATATATATATATAATATTTTATATTCTATTATTTTATATTTATATAAAAGAACTTTCCGTGGACAGGAATTGAACCTGCGACGTTCGAATTATGTGCTCGATGGCTCTACCAACTGAAGCTACCACGGTGGATGAGGAGATAGCAACCGTTGTTGTGACTCATATAGCGGCTTAATTTTCGCAATGTAGTGGTCTAAGTAAAAATTGTTGCATAGTATATGTTGTTGCATAGTATGGTTTGTGAGTAAAACATGCGGAAATTTTCAGAAGAGCAAGTTTTGTTTTAAGGGATAAAAACATTTTCCACCTGAACAACCAGAAGGCAGTATGAAGCTTGCCATTGCCTCACCTTCAATGTAGAAACAGTCAGCGCCAGGTTCCAGCAAAGGCTTTTTGGGAGTGAGTAATTTATGTCATACGACTAATTGTCACTTGTTTGAGTAATACTGCTACATGGAGCGTCAAAAAATGGCAGTAGTGCTAGTTTTATCGAACGGCATCTTCCTTCTCATGCAGTATTTAAGGGCAGAATTATGTCGACAGACTGCAGGACGGTATTGGGGTGGTGTCTTTGGCTTCTGACAATTATTTCACATCGTCTTAACAATAATTAGCAACATAAATAAAGTATAGTTTACATAAGCTGCTTTTATGGTGTTTCAGATATGTGCGTGACCACTCACTACTGCTGTACACGACACAAATATTATGCCATGTAATATTTTTAAAGTTAAAATAACTTAATTGATATGCACACTGATACACTGATAATTTACCTGAACACCGAGATTCTCGAGCCGCCTTGAAGCTCCTGATTGGGTGTCGCGGTTAGTGTAAAGTTGCTGCGCAGCTGCACGAATATAGCGATTCAAACATCTCACAAGGCAAAAAGAGGAGTATGGCAATTCAGGGCAGCGTGTTAACGGCGTCGGGACCGATTCCGGGCCGTGGCGCCGCTTTTTGCTACGAAGGCGAATGCTAGAGGCTCCTGTACTTAACATTGAGGTGCACATGTAAGAACCACAGGTGGTCAAAAATTTCGGAGCCCTCTGCTACGGCGTCAATCATATCACGAGTTTCGGAAGTTAAACCCCAGCAATGATTAGTGGAGTGGCGTTTCCGTGCCACGCACAGTATAGTTTCGTTAGCCCGGCTACGCGACTGAGCTGATCGACTCGGTTTCTATGACTATCATGACTTCTTTCGGCTATACCTCGCGCACATCGCACTTAGAAGGTTCATTGAAAGAAAAACGAAAAAAAAAATCTAAGTGTTTCCTTAACATACTATGTTAATATGGCGCTTACAAAGCTCTTTATTAAGAACAACGAAAAATATTTATGCATTAAGATCATTAAACATAATAAATTAATAACAAGGTAGCGTCCCCGGTTAACGGAACACCAGCGAGTGGACTTGCGAGGCCCCTCGGTGGAATGCTGGGTGCCCTGCCTGAAACTCGAATCCAACTTTGAGACCCTGTCGGCGAAGGAGGTGAATCGAGAGTTCTTCCGTCGGTCTTCTTCCTCCGAATCTTCATCTTCTGCCTCACGGCTACTGTGGATGCCGTACGCTCATTCCGAATGCAACATTATGTTCGGCAAGGGACAGCCACAAGGACGTCGAACTTCCACGAGTTCCTGCATATGAAGGGTCGCGATCTATATTTAATAATCACTAATCATACGATTACAAGTAAATCGATGAAAATGAACACTTCATGAGCAAAAGAAAACGCGCGTAAAAGTGCTGCGGCCTGTGGGACAAGGCAGAAGTGTGAAGAAAACTTGAATATTATCTGCTCCTCAAACATTGCAGCGGACGAATGCATCCTCCAGACTCAGTGCTTTGATGAATTGACAGTCTTGTGTCATTTGTGAGTGACTAAAGTTAATGTAAATAATAATGTGCGCTGTTTATCTGCAAAAACTACGATATGGTTATGAAGAAGGCCATTCTCAAAAGCTCTCGAAATACACCATCTGCCGCTCTGACATCTCAGAGTACTTACTTTTCTATTATTCCGCCATAATCGAAATGAGACCACCAGTGCCGAAACCGTGACCTTCGAGTCGGAAATCGAGCGCTGTCAACACTGCACCACCACGGCGGGCGTAACTCACGTTAATTAAAAGGGACAACGAGGCTCACCTGCCGCGCAAGGGCTTCTTGCGTCTCCCACGTTGCCCTGGATGCTGTTCGCAGTGTGGAGAACTCCACGCAGCAAATCGCGTTGCGTCGTTTGCCCACGCCTTTCTCGGCCAGTGGACGTCTCGCTGAGCCATCGGTCGGATGCGCCTTCCTGTTTCCCATGCTGCACGCCACCTTGTCTGGATGCGTTCCCGTTACGAAAAAACGAGAGGCTTCAGTTGCAGTCTCCTGTTGCAGGCTGGCTTCGTCATGGCAGGCTGCGCTGATGACGCGCTTCCTGATTGGCTGTGCAGACGTTTGTTTTGTTTTGTTTCCCTGGGAGGTTGGCTCATACCCACTCAGGGGGATTGGCCAAGAAAGTGTAGTGCAGTTTTTCTGTGATCATTTTAACTATGTGCAATGAATTGGTATTATAATAAGACTAATGTAAAAATAAAAACAACATAAAAAGAGCAAACGAAAAAAAAAATCAAGTTGAGCAATTTTGAGATTTGAGGTGTTATGTTTACCACTCAGCTGCGTTTACTTCACTCTGCCCTTGAGAGTAATAAATATTTTTTTTTGATTGAAGATCACAAAGGTATACGCTTGGTTGCCTGAATATAATCGCAAACGGCATTGAAAGCATCCCTGTGGCAATGTCCCAAAGCTGAGGCGCCAAAGCTTAGCGCCGTTTCCGCCGTCAATCTAAGGCCTATTTTCCGAAATGGCATAACTAGTAACCTTTTTCTAAGTATCTCGTAGCGGCGACAATACAAAAAATAATGATCTAGTGATTCCATTTCTCCGCAGAATGCGCAGAGAGGTGATGTTGTCTGACCAGCTCTGTGTAGATACAGGTTTAGGGGGGGGGGGACACGACATCGAAATTTAGTAATTAAGACTTCGAGCTTTCTGGACTGACTCCAGTGGGGTTGCCATGGAAACATGAGGTGGGTATAGTCTGTCCATGTAATTACTTTTTCTATCGTATCAGTGGAGATTGCTGATTTTCGATATCTTATAGCCGTGATATATTCTACATCTGGCAGTATGGACAAAACTGGCCCATAAAGTGCGGCTCGTGCTAAGGAATCGGCCAATTCATTTAATCTTAATCCACAGTGACCCGGAACCCATAGTAATCTCAGGAGTCTCAACTGCGGCGGTACTAATGTTTTGAATGTGCTTAGAATTCGAGAGTTCTCTGAAGCTGTCAGAGCTTCACAAACTGAAAGAGAATCCGTCATTATTATTGCATTGTTTTGATTTGATGGAAGTTTTCGAAGAGCTAAAATAATCGCCAAGAGCTCCGCTTCAAAAACTGGAGTAAAATCAGGCAGTCTCACTGAAAAGAACCAGTCAAGCAAATCAGAGGCAATGCCTACACCTACCTTTTGATTATTTACGGAAGCATCTGTGGCTATTATATTTTTAGTTTTTGCATGCTCCAAGTAATCTAATAATATGTTATTTAAAAATTTGAGGGATTGTGATTTGGCGTTTTGGGGGAATATATCGTCATACTCAATAAGAACATGACAATGCGAGTCATTAGTCTCAATTACATTTCTAATGTTCACATTTATACTTTGTAGATTTTTTTGTACAAACATTATCTGAGGTGTGTGAAACCGTGGCCAATGAGCAAGAAAGAAGGCGTCTGGGTTTGCGATAAAAGCATATTGAGATCTTCTTGCCGGTAAGCCATAAAATTTTAAAAATGCTTGTACGGTCAAAATTCGAAATCGACAAAGTAGTGTAGGCAGGCGCGCTTCCTGGTACAGTACGTTGATAGCCACAAATCTAGGGAGTCCCAGACACATTCGAAGTGCTTCTCGCTCCAAGAGAACTAGAGGTTTCGTTTTATAAGCAGGGCCACCCGAGAATAATATGCAGCCGAATTCCATGATGGGGCGCATGTACATCTTGTACAACGTTATCAAGGTGTGCCTCCGTAACCCATATTTCCGGTTACTTAGCTTGTGTAGTAAGCCTGAAGCCCGCTGTGCTTTGGTAGTTATATACTCTATGTGTGGACTCCAGTTAAGTTTGTCATTATAAATGATTCCCAAATATTTTATAGAGTCTACTTGCTGGATGGGTTCCTGTTTATATAGAATTGAAATTGAAATTGGTTCTGCAAGTGGAAACGCCATGAGCGCGCTTTTGTTGACATTTAACGATAACGAAATCGACTGCAACCAAATTTCTAACATGTTAATATATCTTTGTAATTTAAGTTGTAATGAGTAAATACCACAGTCAGCAGCAAAGAGTGCGATGTCATCAGCATAAATGTAGACAGTAACTTCTTGATCTGTTGGAATTGTGCTCATTAAAGCATTAAATAATATTGGAGATAAGACTGCTCCTTGGGGAACTCCGCGCGTTTGTTTAAATCTAGATGAGGAACATCCATCCTTGACGCATTAGAATTCTCTTGATTTTAAGAATTCTGCCACCCACTCAATAAAATATTGTGGGAAGTTCAATCTCTCTAGCGTATTTAACAATATGAAGTGCTCCAAACTGTCATACGCCTTGGCTATGTCAAGCGTTACTAAAGCAGCGTATTGCCTTCTTTTACGCGCGAGCTGTATTCGGCTCTCTAAATCAGCATGGGCACACCAAATTGAGAAATCACTACGAAAGCCGATTTGGTTCGGTTTTATTACTAAATTGTTTGCCATCCAGATACTTACTCGGCTATGTAGGACCCTCTCTACTAGTTTGACCATGTTAGATGTTAAAGAGATTGGTCTGATATTATCGACTGTTAATCCTCCACCCGGATTTTTTAGTATAGGAATCACCTTTGCTATCCTCCAATCCTGCGGCACCCATGAGTTTTTTAAGGAGTAGTTAATAACATTGGCGACGTCTCGAGGCGATAAATTGAACAGAATTTTAATCATGGGTACTGTGATTCCATCTGGGCCAGGAGATGCACAGGGTAAATGTTTAATCACGTTGGATACTTCAGTCTGTGTCACTTCTTCAAAGTCAGACTTTGTCGTAGACTTGTGCCAGTTGTTTGGCACTACTGAAGTGAATCTGCTTTCCAGACCTTTACCGATTGCTTCTAAGGTAGTGGTCATTTCTTGTGCCGACAGATTATCACAAGCTACATTAACTGGTGATGGCAAGATTTTCCGAGCTCTCATATATCGGAACAGTGCTTTCATATGTTTAGGCTTCGAGAGGTATTCATAATGTCTTCTGTCATAATCTTGTTTAGCTTGAGCTACCGTTCTTTTAAAGCCCGCAGCAATGAATTTATAATCGGCCCAGTTTTGTGGGGATTGATTATGTAAGAGCTGTTCGGATGCACGCAGAGCGGTCTCGCGCTTCAGATGAGCCGTCGTTTTCGTCGTCTTCGCCTCTCGCAGACCTGATCGTCACCGAGACAAATTCATTATGCTTGTTCTAACTTTATAAATCTTTATTATACTCTGTTTCAAAAGTTCTCTTCAGCACTGCGTAGGCTACAGGCCCCTCAGCCGACAGGAAGGGTCCTTAGCCCCTCCACATGTATTCATACTTCTCTACCTGCTGTCAGTTATTCTTTCGCCAGATGACTCGTTGTATCCGCTTCCTCTGGCACAGTTGTTTCCATTAGCTACCTAGATTTTTAGAGAAATTTTGGAATGAGTGTGTGTATCGTGAACTTGGCACTCAATTAGTTTGTTTCTCATACAGCTGGGTGCGCGCAGTGACAATATATTTATTGAAGTTATATTAGTCAAAGGTAAACATGCCCGCAGTACTAGGTCATCAGGTGAAGTGTTATGCTTCTGAGCTCGAAGACACGGCTTCGATTCTCGACCATGAACGCCGCGATTCGGCAGGCGCAAAATGCGACTAATTACACACGTCATGTCATCGCAATTAAAATCGAGTTTCCCCCTAAACTCCGAATACGAATCAGATAACAAATAATCTCCAAATGTGTGCCCCTAGAATACATCATTTCATCATGCACACCAGTCGAAAGCGATCACGCATCGGACTATACCTGAAACATCATAAAAACAGCTAACGTAAGGTATACTAAGCTTATGTCATATATTATTAAGAGCATGTGTATTAATTATCAGAAGCGAAACACAACGCCCCAATACTGTCTTGAAGTCCGTCGGCTGCATTATAATTCTGCTTTTAGAGACTGAAAAGAGGTTAAATAACCTGCCTTTTAATGGTCCATGGAGGAAGATACCATTCCAAAAAACTAGCACTATAGCCCCATTTTGACGTTCTATACAGTAGTATTACTACATCGAGCCACAAGGAGCTGCGTGACATCGAAAAGTTCCCCGCTGCAACCCCCCGCTGACGTGCTGTGCAGTGAAAATGAGGCAATGGCAAGCTTCGTACTACCTTGTGGTTGTTCAAATGGAAAACTTTTTTCTCCCGTAAAACAAAATCTGCTCTCTTGAAACTTTCTGTATGTTTTACTCACAAACTATACTGTGCAACAATATATGTATGAGCCGCATTTTTCACTTAAAACGCTACATCGCGAAAATTAAGCCACTATATGAGTCAAAATGCTATTTCTCCCAACTTTGTCCCAATGTTCTGGCAATGCTACTGCTTCATTCCCTCCCGAAGTAGTTTAATCATTTAATATAGGAACATATACAATAGACATGTAAGTACATTACTCACAAAAATTTGTGCTTTTTATAAAAAAAGCGATAAACATGCGGCATTTTTCAAATTTTCGCCAAGGTGAAAATAAAGTTAAAAGAAGAATGAACGAAATATTATAGTCTTAAAAGTGAGAAAAACTCACTCTTTCCATTGAAAACGCGCTAGCTTTGACACGGACCACTAGGTGCGCTGGCTGTTATGTGTCCAGAAAAGCTGGATATGATGCTGAATACCTTTGTTAGGAACAAGAAGAAAGTTTGTTCGTTTAACATTTTTATACAAAATTACTACAGGAAAGTTGCCTTAAATGTACCTTGTTGGGTTCAGCCAGCCACTACTAGGAATACCCGCCGAAAACATGATCGATCCTCTGCACCCATATTTGCACGAAATAATGCTTACAAATACGGTTATTTTCCCAGAACAGTTGATGACTGGAATTCAATGCCTCATGAGATTCTTTCGGCTGACCATTTTG